ACTAAAAGATTGAATTTAAAAATATAAAATGGCAAAGGGAGGGCTTTTTTTTTTTTTCAATAAAAAAAATAAAGGTAAAGAGATGATGGTTGGAACAAAATGTTCCAGAAGAAAGCTCTTCCCTTGGGGTTTCTTTTCTTTAAGCTTTGCATATTACAATTTGAAATTTTTGTAAAGAGATCTCCATTTTATATTCACACTGGTAGCCTGAATTTAAATATCTCTCTCACCTGAGATTAATACAGGCTTCACCCTGAATTACTTCCCAGCTCTGAAGTACAGCTCTGGAAAGCTCAACTCTCTGCAAATTCACTTCTCTTTTAGAGGCATAAAAGCTTATGAAATATATGAAATATTAAAATAGTGTGTGTGTGTTGGGGTGGAGAGTGGGGGAAGGCAAAGCAGGGTCAGTGAAGGGGGGCTTCTTTGATATGAAAACACACTTTTCTTTAAATGAAATCAGTTAGCCACAGGACAAGAGACCCTTTAATCTCCAAAGGCAAAAATATCAGTCCAAAAAACGAGAGTTTGGGGTTTTTTCTTTTTTTTTTTTTTTTCTTTCCTTTTTATTCCTCAGATGCTACAACTGGTGTAGAATGCAATCCCGGTGGGGAAGAACCCTGATTTCTGAAGGCAACAGAAAATATAAAGTTTTGCCGGAGCAAAACAACATATTCCCTGTGAATGAGGTTATACACGAGGTGGAAGCGCCTTATTACGCTAACTCAACCGTCGCCAAATCCACCTGATGGGTGGAAAGCTCCTTGTTTTACGCTCTGAGGGCCCATTATCTAATTGCCATAGAAATCCAGCATCGCATATAATCATTTAACCCTTGGGAAGCCCTGCCATCCGGGTCATTTCCTTGGGTGGGATCCAGGCACCCAGCTTGTAGGGGTTATCTCCCTTATTCTGCTTGCACATATCCATATGTGCATATATGTGTGTGGACCCTGGGTTGAAAAGCACTCGCTGCTACAGCAGAAGGGCTTCTGTGCAGCTGCTCCATCCTACTGCAATAAATTTCTTTGCTTGCACTGAATCGAATATAGTTCATTTTAAGAAGTCTTTTTTTCTTCTTTTTTTTTCTTTTTTTTTTTTTCATTTCAGGAAAATGAATGTTAGCGCCAGATAAGAAACTATAGTCTGCTTTCAAGAAGGTTACAAGAAAACTGCATCTTGCATTACTAATCCTTTATCTTTCATGTTAACAAAAAAGATTACTGACATATTTTTGAATGAAAGAAAATAAAATAGCAAATGCATCTAAAGAACTGTGTAACTTTCATGCAACACACAAATCGGTTGTTAAACGTGGCGGAAAGGAAAAAAAAAAGGAGAGGAATGAAGGGAAAATTCCTAATACATTTCCCTTTGTAAAGTGAGTGAACCAACTTTCTGTAATAAGAGAAACTACTGGTGGACTAGGAGATGCTCTTGGCATAAAGCAAGAACATTATGTTTAGCTGGAGGCTGGATTTTGGGGGCAGAGGAAAAGGGAGACCGTGGCCAGGTGCCTGCCTGGGGGCTCTACACCACGCTCCTGTATACCTACATGCTTGGGAATTGCTTTTCCCCGCTTCTTTGGGACACCGGGAAGCCTTTGTGTCATGCTCCTGGATACGGAAAACCTGAGAGGAGATCCCAAAATGAAAGTTGCTCTGGAGATGTGGACCTTGGGACTTGTCTCCTGCAGTCCCTCAATCCCAGAGCTGTCTAGGACAAGGGATTTTGGGCATYGTCTCCAAGCATCCCTGTAAACTGCAGTCCTGATCCATGTCTCTATTCTGCCATGAGATGCCCTGCCTAGGCACATGGCAATTCATTAGGAACCCCCTAACTGAATTCCATGACCATGCCGCTCTAAACCCAGTCTGATTAAGAATTAGTTCATTTGGCTCAACCCAGGATATTCCTTGTTACGGATTTTGCCCATGCTCCCAGATAGGCGATGGCAGGCACCTCTCTCATGGTGTCCTTTGAAGGTATCCCTGTTCGTTAATAAGTCACCCGCAGAACTACTCCATCAGAAAGGATCCATCTGCTGCTCGCTTGAGCTCCAATGAGTCGTAATAATCCCAGTGTAATTGCTAATGTTAGCCAGCAAATGTGCTCCACCTGGAGAACAGGCTGGAGAAGAGCCGAGAGGGAGCATGTGTCCTGCTTGCTCGCATCCCCACTGCCAACTTCAACTCCAGGAAATGCATCACAAGCAGTGGCTCCGCACGGTGTACTTCTTCCTTGGGTGGCAAGGAGCACACCTGTCYTAGGGACAAGGCAAGCAGAGATAAGGCGCATCTGAGGCTCAGCACCCAGAGCAAGCATCTCCAGCCAGCACCATCTCCCAGAAAAAGCCAGTCCCACTGTCCCAAAAGAGCCCTCCTTTCCCCCAAGGCTTTTGCCTAGCTTCATGTGTTGCTCTCCTTGCACATCGCTCTCCTAAGCAGCACTCTGCTCGCACATGGCTCACCAAGACTTTGCTCTTCCATTTGCTGCTATTGCCCTCTACTGGGGACTCCCAAAGGGAAGGTTCGTCCCATGGCCCCGCTTCCAGGGGCTACCAGTCCCCTCTCCGGCCTCCAAAAATGCCAAAGCATTTGGCATGGGGACAAACCCCAGGGATGGGATGGAGGGGGCAGCATGTGCCACCGTCTCACATGTTTGGGGCTCACCCTCCTCACGCTCCATCCTGTCAATAGCTTTTTATATTTTATTGGGGAAAAAGGGGGAAGAGGGAAGGGAAGGGACTGGAGACCAGTTTCCCTCGACACTGGGGAGTTCAGCAGTGGAGATGAGTTGCCTCACTGGTCACAAATCACCACAAATTGTCACAAATTGTCTCTTTCTCTGGTGCAGATCTAGGGGGCTAAGTCAGTGAACGATGGGGGTTTCAGTGGCCATGGCACCATTCTGGTGGAGGGACAGCTCCTACACAGTCACCCCAGCCAAAGAAGAACCATTCGGTACCATTGGTGAAGGAGACACTGGACAGGAGTTCCCCCGGCTCCAAGGTAAGCTAGGGAGAGGTGGAAAGGGGAGCCAACAGCATGACATCCTACATCATCACCCTTCTGCCCACATGTGGGGCATCTGGGGACGGACAGCCTCAAGGAATGAGTCTGTTTCTGAGATCTCAGTCCTCAGAGGGTGGTTAGACTCAGCCAGTGGTGCCACACACCTCAAAAAAGCCATTGGTGCCGGACAGCTGGCCCAGATGACCACTGGCGCATCCCAGGACCATCTCATCCCACCCACAAGGAGATGCATACCCCAGAGCTCCTCACACACTCGATGGATTACCGATGAGGGAGAAGATGGCTGCCTTATACCAATTAATTCCCCAAGTGTAATTAACATCTGGGGCAGCTCCATAGGCTCCCCAGCTTCTAAAAAAGCATGGCACCATTTTAATTCCTGCAATGCCCCACCATCTTCTCATTAAATCTGGAAGTGGGCTCCATCACATTTTCCCTTAAAGGGGAAGAAAAATAAAGGAAAGAGAGAAATGGAGCAGGATTTGACTCAATGAAATAAGAGAGATTAGAATTTGAGGATAAAGAAAGTAGGAGGGAGAGGCTGTAGCAATATGTGCAGGTGCTCACTTGCATGTGCAGGCAGCCGGATAGTCCCTTTCGCAATGACCTCCTTCTGCCCCATCCATCAGCCTCAGGTTGGCTTATTCTAACGAGCAGCTTCTTTTCTGGTGTATAACAGGCCCCTCAGACCCAATCTGCATGCCAATTACCACAGCAGCCCTCCTGATACCAAGCCATGGAAATTAGCTGTCAAGCCCCAGCATCAGCCACCGGGCTGCGCAGCCCACGCTGTGGCTCATAACCGTCCACACTCAGTTCTGTGTGCCACCACAGCAAAGGGAGCCCCCGATGGGGAAAGAAAAAAAGAAAGAAAGAAAGAAAGAAAGAAAGAAAAAAAAAAGGAATCTAGACTAATAATAGTAATAATAAAAATAAAACGGCATGTTTTTTTGTTAGGTGCAGTGGTCGCCAGCATTTGGGGGTGCAGTGCAAAATTCACCAGAGGGCACAAACAGTTTGGAGAAAGGAGAAAAGAAAAAAAAGAAGTGTTGTAATAACTGCATATTATTGAGGGGCAGATCAAGCAATGGAAGGACACGCAGAGGAAATGCTGCCATAAGGGCACAACAAAGAGAACAGCAGGAATGAGACTCTGACTTTGCCCCATCTTTCGTGGATATACTAGGCCCCACTACCTAAAAAAGACATTCCTTTAAAAAAGGGATTAAAAAAAAAAAAAGGAAAAAGGGGGCTTGCCATGAGCTCACTGCAAAAAGCATGACCAGGTCATGCTCAAGGGCAGTGTTTTGCCAAAGTAGCATGTGGCTCTTGAGGAGCTTGGAGGGGAATCAAGCAGAAGAGGGGACCTTCAAAGGGGTGTCAGCACAGTCCATTGGTTACATATTCCTGGAGCCTGTGGTTTTGGATGCAGCTAAGGGGTCCTGGCAGCACTGAAGAAAGAGGGCTCTCTCCAAGCTCCCCCTTTGAGCATGAGGATGGTCCCATATCACCCAACGCCTCCTCGGCATTCCGCGGAGCTGGAGCTGCCCATCCTCAGCCCCACGTGCTGCCGCAGGCTCCGCTGCGCTTTGACAAGCGTCACTTAACCTGCCTTCCCGCTCCCTAATTACCTCATACATCACACGGGAGGGGGCTGCAGAGCCCGGCCGCAAGGGCTCTGCTCCTGCATCCAATATCATTATCCCCGAGTCCCCCGGCCCCTGTGCTTGATATGCAAAGAGGCTGCTGGTCCCCGGGGTGCCCGGCGGGGAGACGGATACGGCCGCGCACGCAGGCCCAGCCTGACATCTAGCGGCACTGGACAAAATGGGCCTGGAGCTTGGATTGGTTGCAGTGGTTGCCCTGTCAGGGCCTACAAGAGCCTGGGAATAAGGAGAGGTCCAAGGAAGCGATTCCATAGCTTTATTGAGTGCCAGGTGGCCCTGGTCCTGCTCCCACGGGCCTTCACTCGGCAATGTTGCGGAAGGACTGGATGGCAGCAGTGCCGGCACCCCAGTCAACCGGCTTGCGGTACTCGCCCTTGGGCAGCAGGTACTGGCGGCCCCGGTAGTTGGGGTGCTCGTAAAAGACCCAGACACCCTCGAGCACCCTGCAGGCGTGGATCTCACGCAGGCGCCACTCCTCCATGACCGAGGGGCAGTCCTCAGTGGCTTCGAACATCTGCCCGCCGAAGTCACCCTTCTCGAAGACCTGAATGTGGCCCCGGCCTCCACCTGGCTGAAAACAGGGGAACAGAGTCACAGACGCACCAAGGGGGAGCAGCCCGCCATGGGCAACGCTTACGCAYGTGGCGTTTCACCCAAGGGAGGATAAAAGCACACCCTCACAGGGAGACCTGCCAGCACCAGGATCCCCACACCAGCTGTTGGCCCTCAGCAGGGGGAAGGCAGGACTGACCCTCTGCACACCCAGTTCTGTCCCAAGTGTGGCCCAAGGAGGGCCTCAACCCTGGTCACTCCAGGCCTGCTTTGGGAGCAACTCTCCTCATGTTGATGCTATTTCTGCCAGAGTCAGAACAGAGCCATGACTTGCTAGAGGCACATGAAGTGCCTRTCTCGGCAGGGATTAAAACCTGGACTTGGCTAGGCCAAGCGACTCCAGTCCTACAAAGCATCTCCATTCCCTGAGGAAGTCTGAACTGGAGGGGGTGACTTCTGTTTCCCATGGGAAAAGTAGCCAAAACACTCTGTTCTAGCAGAAAGCTCAGCAATGGAGATGGGGAGAGAGGAGAGAGCTTCTCCTTGGAGATCTTTGTGGAAACTGAGCAACCTGTCCCTTCTCTCTGCCAAGAGCAGTAGGGACCACAGCACCAGCAGTGCCCTCAGTAATGCCAGAGGTTCATAGAGTCACTTGCCTGGACAATCAAGCTTCTGGGGAAACCTGGGGGTGAAACCACTCTGCTGGAAGCTGCTTCTCCCCATGGTGAACAAGAGTGGAAACACCTCAACTTCCCCAGAGCAGAGCTCACATCTCCATAGGATCTTACAGGTCCCCACAAAGAAGGGTGCCACTTGCAAGCGTGCTGAATAGACATGATAGACACATAAATTAAGCTGCCCCTTGAGAACCATCCACACTTACTATCTGGATGGTTTTGCATGAGCCCAGACGATCGTTAAGGCCCATCCAGTAGTGGTAGTCAGGATATTCCCCGTGGGTCAGAACGTACATGTTCCCAGCAAAGTTGGGCCTCTCGTAAGCTACCCAGGTTCCCCCTTCCACCCGGATGGAGTTACAGCGGTTCAGGTAGGTGTGAAAATCAGGGCAGTCACTGTCACATTCATAATAACGGCCTAGGAAGTTCCTGTCTTCATAGAAGGTGACCTGCAACACAAGCAGAGGAGGGAAAGCAGGGAGGCTCCTCATCCCACTGTACAGAGAGAGGAGAGGACACCACACAGAGAAGGACCTCTGCCCAAAGCATCAGGCTTCTTTGCTGATGTTTCCATTTCTCTCAGACTGCCCAGGAGACTACAGGATTAGTCCTTGCAGARAGAACAGCTGGAACAGACCAGAAATATTGAAAATGGAGCCCTCAGGAGACATCAGGAAGTCCTGAAGTGCCATAGCAGAATAGGACTAGCTGCATCCAAACTAACCCAGGCTGAAGACCCATCAGCCTGGCCCCTACACTCCACATTGCCATCAACTCCTTGCCATTCTCACYTGCCTTCCAAACCCAAAACTCCCTTGGTAAAGTCTTTTTATGTGCTTGCTGTGAAGGTAGTCTGTTTTATTTCCTTTCTACACTCTCTACAACAATAGCTGCTGAGGCAGAGCTAAGGAAATCCTAAGTGGTTAACACAAATGCTGTAACTGTTCCTTTTTCACAAACCAAGTATTTGCAGATAGATCTTGACTGATACGGGGTGGTGAGGTCTCTTTTCATGGGTCATGCTTTCTAGCCCTGCAATTGCTCTCCTTGTCCACCACTTTATCAACCCATAGCTTTGCTTTCTCTAAAGGCCATGCCAAAAAGCAAACAACATGCTCCACCTAAGCCTTTAAAGTGCCCAGAAAAGCAAAAGGAGCATTACACTCTTCCGGATGGCACAGTTCTCTGTATATCCAAGGATGACATCTGCAATTGGCTTGTCGTGTTCCGGCGCTTCGTTGTTGTTGTTGCTGCAAGTTTGGGTTATAGTTGACAAATTGCTAAACCATCACCACACTTCTTGCTAAAGAGGTGCCAACAGCCAGACACCTGATTAAAATGTGCTTCATTTAGGACCTTGTTTTTCCTGCTCGTTTCAAAGAGATCTTGAGAGTTGGTGAGCAAATACATGTCCGTTGCCCAAACAACCCAGCCAGATGCGGCAAAGTGATGTGCATGTTCTTCATGCCATCCTTGGAGATCCTTTACTGGGTACTGCCAAGTCTCAAAGCCAGGCCAGTTGCTTGTACAATACCGTTTCTAGACTCTTCCAAGCATTAATTACTCATCAAGAGTTGGTCTTTGGAATAAGGATGTCTGACTATATCTCTCACTCGTCTTGCCATACTGCAAAGTCGAGCAATAGCAAAAGTGTTACCAATATGCAGGACAACCTGCTCACTTCTTTTCCTTCCACATAGCTTTTACCAAAGCCAACAGGGCACTGTGTCCCCACCACCCTGAGCAGACATCTGAGAAGCTGGACTAACCATGCCAGAGAATTTGTCCTTGGGTTTGTGTTCCTTACTTTCCAGAGACTGATTTCTCATTATGAAGGAGCGTGAACGTACAAAGCAACTTGTCCTCGTGCCTCTCCTGAGCAAGCTATGCCCGTGTTCACTGCAATGGAGGCTGGGCAGATCATTACCATCTTTCCTGCAAATAAATAAAGGTGGTAAAAGGCCAAGGAAATCACAGCAAGCAAGCAACACCCTCCGCAGAGCTGTATACAAGGATGCCCCTCTTCACAGCTCAGTTGTCATCCTCCACAGATGCATCATCAACTATGCTTCATCGCTTAAGCTGACTTTAATTTAGTCAACTGAAAGAAAGATTCGTTTGATGCACGTTCCCACACTGGCTAACACAACTGAACTTGAGTTTGGCAAAGCCATCTGTGTTTCCTGGAGGATWATTTCCCTAAAAGGACGCACAGACAAAGATATCCAAGAAGACATTAAAGGCCTGGCCAAAGAACATCAAACAACTGAAAATTATAGTTTGTTTTCTTAGAGCATTTAGCAGACAACTTAAGGAGATGGCTTCTCCCCACCCATTCTCCACCAYAGTTTGTTGCACACACCTCCCTTCACTCCATTTCAGGTAGCAGAGCTGTTCAGGCTCAGTGCTCCTCAGCTTTACTCCAATGGCACAGGCACAAGCAGATTGGACAGATGTTTTTCACCTGCAGGATGATGACAGGTGAATTACAGATTTCATTTCCAGATTCATCAGTTCCTTTCAGCCAAATCTTGCTCAGACACAAATCGCCTTCCCTCAGCAAAGCCATCAAGCACTTACAGCATCATCCCGTTACTGCCCAAACTCTGCTCGGGGACTTAAGAGGTAGAGAACAGATCTTCCTTACACAACTGCAATGCTCTTGCTAACTTGGACACCTCTTAACAGTCATCATCTTTCTTCCCAACATCACTTGTGTTACACATTAACTTGTAAGTGGGAACAGCACAGTGTGGTAGTGCCCTCTGCTTACTAAGGAAACAGTACAGGTGGGCAGTGACTCCTTTTTAAGGCGTATCACTTGCTTAGGTAGAAAGAAATAGCACGTTCAATTCTTTGTCCTTTTGTTTTTCCTTTGAAATCTGTCAAGCAAGAGCATGGCACAAGGGACCACTGAGATTTGCATTCTCATTGACCTAAGGCATCTTGAATGTTTTGCTGGCTGTAGCCTGGTCACACAGCACATACCATTTTCATCAGGAAAGAGAAGCAGTAGGTGAAGTATCTTCAAGTAGATAGGGGAACTGAACGTGGACTGGTTACATTCCCAAACTCTTCTTTAATGCAACACGTGGCTCTTGTCACTTTGGGTCTAACAACTACTGTATTGGAAGGAAGTTATACACCACACTCGGTTTCTAAAGACATCTCCAAAATGACAGGTCACCCTGAACCAAAATCCCAGGTAAATATGCAATAAAGCAGAGACTGAACCCAAATCCTTCATAACACGAGCCCGTGCCTTCAAGACTGCTCTGCCTCTGAGCTTTCTGCTCCCTTGGCTCTCTCCTCTCCACAGGTTAAGGAGAATGTAATGCAAGGAAACTAATGCAATGGAAAACCATTCACTTCTCCCTAACACGTGCCTGCCACAGAAGGCACAGTGCAGCCTTTGCCTACCAACAGGTTGGTGGCAGCTGCTGTTGGAACTCAGCTCCCCGCTGCAGAGCCTTCCACAGGATTGCTTCCTGCAACCGTTGCTCATCACACTCACAGCTGAAAAAATAATCTGTATTCCTAACTCCTCCTACACCTCCTGCATTTGGAAGCAGAAGTTGTAGTTGTGCCCCTTCATTGAAAGGCTATCCTTCACAGACTGCAAATACACTTACCTTGGGGCCAGCTCTGAACATTTTCCGTTCAAGCCCAACTCCACACTGCTAGAGGAATGTCAGAAGCTGTTATAAACAGTCAGGAAGCGCAGCACCCTTTTTATAATGGGCTCATTTTAAACCAGACAGCCGCTTTGTCATGAGAATAGGATCCAAAAATTGAGTCAGTGATTCTGAGGCTATAGCCAGTTTCCAGAAAAACAAACAGGATTATGGAATAAAGGAAGGCTCTGCCATCCTCTCTTTGTTACCGTTTGCTGAGTCAGGACACCAAAACTCTGCCAAACACACTCAAAACACCCAGCCCCCTGCCAAGTCCTGGGGGTCGGAGGGTGGCATTTTGGCTGCTTTCTTCCTTGTAAGCACAATAAACAAGAAGGCACCCTAGTCAGCTCTAAAACGGCCCGTCCCTGTTTGTTTTAGGGCTCGATATTAACAGAGAACATTCCCAAGCAATGAAGGATGTAGCTAGGAAACAGGAAATGCATACTTGGATCTGAAGGCTTTGCAAAGCACAAACTCTGCTTCAAGAGCTCATAAAAACAGCTATGCAGTAAAGAGGCTGCATATTTGCACAGCACATCCTCAGCTGGGCCACATTGCTCTTGGCAGTGGCTGACAGAAGGGGGTAAAAAAAAAAAAAAGCATTCCTGGCTCACAAGGGGATGATTTCAGGCATGAAATAATGAAGAACGTGCCCAAACTTTTGGTAAAATTAGCCAGTGTCATTAATGTAACTCGGAACTCTTACAGCACTGCCTGCTGCTTAAAAGGGTTCCTTCTCCAATGCACCCTGCAGCCCACTGGGCAAGGAGCAGCAGAAGTGATGCTTTTTCTGGTCCATGACCCCAGGGCCTGGGCGTTGTGAAAAACACTATTCACTGTGCCAAACAAAGGCTTAGGGAAACAAAGGCAAGTGAATCTTAAAAACCTGACAGAACAGGCAAACTCAACCACAAATCTACCGTACACTGCCACAAGGCTACTGACTGCAGCTTCCTGCAGCGCTTAGATACAACCAGAGATAGAAAGCAGCTCAGAAGCATCTAGTTTCCTTCCACTTCCAGGTGTTTTGAATATCTAGTGCTATTGCTCAGAGCTCCTGAGAGCAAGTTCTTTAGGACATCTCCAAGCTCCGATGCGGTCACTTTGCATGTCACTCCTTTAGAAGCTGGTTCAACAAATCAAGGTCAGCCTCTTGATTCCTAACCTAAAACCACAGCAGTGGATCAGTCCTGGAAAAATTCCAATTTCTTCTAAGTGTTTGGGACAGTTTCCAAGCTCAAAGGATGTGTTATCAGATGAATTTAGTATAATTGTTATATTTGCTAAAAAGCAGTAAAACAAAGCTCTGCATTTCATTAATGAGAACTAAGTGGTCTGGACAGCACTACCAGCTACAAGTGAAAGACCACATCTATGGGGTGGGGGGGAAAAAAAACATCAGTAGATCTTCATCAAGTACAATCATCACAAAAAGCAAGCAAATATCATCAAGCAGCATCTGCAGCTACAGCTGGGCAACTACTGCCCCGTGTCCTACACAGACACCYCTGCCAGCGTAGCGATAAACTATAAATACTTCAATATAAAATTTGCCTAGTCTTGCCTTAGTGCTTTAAGGATCAAGTTATACAATTTCATGTAAGTATAAAAAAGTCAGATGGAATTACAACTAAAACATTTGTCCTAGAGAATGAAACGTGAATGCAGTATATAATTTTATATACATACATATTAAATATATACTACTTATGTGTATATATACACTTACAAAGTACATAATTTTATACAATTTGTACACCTGAGTACTGAATCCCACTATTTTCCTCAATTAAGATAGCTCTTCACAAGCCACATGCTGGCGCTGTCCTTGGTTATCCATACAGGGCCATTGCTTTTCTGGCCTTCTAAATTAGGTTCTAAACTAGGTCAGTGGCTAGTAGCACAAAATGAGAACAGGATTCCCACTCTTTACAAGGAATTTTTTTTTTTTTTTTGATATAAACAATACTTTGTCTTTATAAAAGTGATGTGTTAGGGTACCCTTCAAAATCCTCAGCTCCACAGCTCTTCAGGCTTTCTCTCAGCTCAGAGGCTCCCATTTTATTATGGCAATAAAGATATTGGGACCTGTTAACAAGCCAAGTTAAAATCTTTTCCCCAGAACATATGCCAGACTTATGTGACAATTCTTTTATTGACATTTGTCAAAACAAACCAAACTTTRTAAGAAAGGTAATGCCACAAAAATCTAAGTGCCATCTTCACATTAAAAAAGAAAATCTATTGAATTTCATTCACAAAACATAAAATCAAACATCTGTTTTTCACACATATAAAAACRAGGCAACTGTCTTGTACCGTAGAGCTGCAGGTGACAGCCAGCCAGGACTTTATATCCAGCTTCACACCTGGATAGGTGCACACCAAGGACACAGCCCACAATTGCCTCCCAACTGCAGCACCTGCAGCAAGAGGCAGGCAAACGTGTTCAGCACCCTCTAGTAACATACACTTCCCTGGTTATCAAGAGAATAGCTATAGCACATTCCTGAGAAAGCCAAAGGGATTAAAAATCCTGAAGTGACCAAAGAGTCCAACCCACGCTGAGGCTGGGCATCAAATCCACATCAAGGATATCCAGCTAGGATGGCTGCAAAGCATTTGTGAGAACTGTTTTCAGGACATCTCCGTCTCCTCCCAGAACTCTGTAACAAAGCAAAGCAAGTTTTATTTGCACCAACAAAGCCATTACTAGCTAAGACTATAATTCAAAGACTGCAATTCTAAGACTACAGATCTAAGACTAAAGAATAACTAGTGTTCTAATAGCTTGAAATACATGGCATAACAGTATAAAAAGGACCTAGCCCCGATTCCCAAACTACTTCCCCTTTGGAAGAGAGGGACAGGCTACATATTAAGAATTATATGAGTCTACTTTAATTCTCTTCTGGAGCAGAAAGAGACAGGTAAGTACTGACATTAATAGGCACCTTCTTCAAAAGCAAAGCTGRTCAAGTAAGATTTAACATCAGCTTGCATACAATATGTCTGCAGTCATATACRTAAGTTCCTAAGAAATCAAACTGCACATATACAGAGGAGATGGAAGCTGGAGCACACAGAGAATGCATTTTTAAATGGTTTTGACTGCAAATTTGAACAGGCCCCTTACTCACCCTTCTTTTCCTTTYGTAGTCCAGCAACGCGACGCTATCCTGCCGCCTGCTTGGAGCCTACTGCAGGGGGGACAAGGCTATCCAGCTGCTGACGRTTCCCTGTTTGCACCAGCCATTCGTAAAATTTGTTTTCCACCAGCACTTGGAATTTCTTCCTCTGCTGTCTGAAACCCAGAAGAGTATCAGCAGTGCAACACGCAGAGGTGACATTTATTCAGAGACTGTTATGTTTCTAAATCTCTCTTTGGTCACAAGACCATAGATGAGCTAAATGGTCGGGCACCTCAAACAGAATCTCATGACTGATAATTAGTACTTCTTTTGTAAGGCTTCTTAAATATCCCTTCCATGACGGAGGGGGATAAGACCTACTCCATACATCTATTGCTTTCAGTGAGGCATGACCTCGACCTCCCTTTATAAAAACTACATTGATTTCTCTATAGCACATTGCACATCCATGTGGCCAGTGATTATGTTTTGATTGTCCTTTGCCCATGAGCATAGCATAGATTGCAGGTTTGCAAGTCTGTATCCACTCCCCAGATTCCTCCGTAAAGGAATTTTTCCTCTGGGAAAGAAGAAAAGCAGTGCTAGCCCTCAAGTACCAGTGCAGTTTAAGGAAGAGATTACAAACTACAGTTAAATGGTTATTTTCTTCTCAAGTTCTTCTGGATCGTTTCGGTAAAGAACATTTGCTCTGGTTTATCATGACGATTTGCTCTCATACTATCACTTCCTTTTGAGCCACTCTCTGACACGTCCCCAGAAAGAAGGGTTCTAGGATAGGAACTACCCTAAATTCCTCCCTGGTGAATGCGAACACAAAGASAGCCACGTGTTTCTTCTCCTCTAGTTTTATCTTTTCCAAGGGCTTATTATACGCTTTGATCTTCCACTGACCCTGAAAGACTTTGTCTGATGGGTTTGGAAAAAGAATAAACAGGATTTTATGCTTGTGTAAGTTGTTCCTCAAGCTCTCTTACTGGTCCTGCCTTACAGTACATTTTACATTTAGCCTGGCAGGGTTTACATTATTCTCTCCCGCGCTTTCCCCAACACAGATAACTTCAACTTTTTGAAGGATGTCTGCTTATGTCTAAGTCTCTTTCAACCTCACTAGTCAAGCATGGCAATTTTTTCTTCTAGGAGTCTTCCCAAASCACTTGTTCTTTTTAAACAGATGGTATTGTGTCTGCTCTAAGCTTCCTACTTGTCTCTGTAGCAGCCTGCAGGGGAGGCTAAAATAATTATTTCACTGTTTGTTGGCCAATTTCTTTTCAAAAAGCTTCTAGAATTTATGTAGTTCTCCTCTTATGAAATAAGTCACTGCAGCATTGAGCTCTCAGCTCCTGCGATTGTGAAGAGGATGTTAAATCTAAGCAGATCACCTCTACTACCAAACATTAAGTTTCTGCCCAGAAAAAACTCCGAGGTAAAAAGCAGTAGCCCTGGCATGGAAGACAAMAGCTAGAGAAGCAAAAAGTGCCTTAAATGAGGGTAACGAGGAACAGGGCAGATGATTCGAGTATAAGAGCTTAATTTCCAGCTTTCCTCTCTGTTGCCCTTAGGGACTGGAAGGTTTTTACACTTTGATCATCACTGCTGGATWACTATGCTCAGCCACCCTCCATCCCGACGACAATCCTGCCCCAGAACTCTTTCTTGCTCATGGATTTCATGAGACAAGTCGCCTACTCTCACAGCTCTGAACATTATTTCTCTCACTGCTATAGCACCAGAGATCAGGATAACTAATCCCTAGCAGGCTAGGAACAACCTGTGAGATGCAGCTCTCTCGAACCAGCCTATTTCCCAAGCACTTTTGTGAAACCACCTCAGGAGAAGCTTCCGTTTGCAGCGCCAAGCTTCAACACAACTCTCACATTCAACTCCTGCCAGGACGCYGTACTCACTTGGTCAGGCCTGCCTCCTTGACAGTTTTCTGCCAGTTCTGTACCTTCTGCTCCCGCTGGCTCAGGGCCATCTGGTAGGCATTGGGCAGACCTCCCGGTGTTTCTGTCGTGTCTCCTTCCATCTCAAAGGGAATCACAAAGGTGTAAAACTCCGAGGGTGGCAGGAGGCGAAAGGTGCTCTCATTGCTGCTCTCTTTGCACACCAGCATCGGGCTGTCCCAGTAGTTGGGCAGCGTGGCCAGGCCCGCCTGAGCCATGTGGTCTTCTAGCATGGGGTAATGGGTGTGGAAAGGAGCCAAGCTGACTGCTTGGTTCCCCGAGAGGATGAGAGGCTGCGTAGGTGTGAGAATGTAAAAAGTACAGCCTGTGGTGGAAGAGAGAGACAAACGATGGCAAACAGCAATGACCTTGACATTGTCGCAGCTGTGGACGTGGACAGAGGTCTGCACAGGGCCAAGAATGAAAGTGCTATTCCGGCACTTCTCAATGGTCACAGATCTGGCAAAGAGCGAGGGAAGACACTGTGAGGCAAAAAGACCAAAATCTGGACCCTTCCAACTGCTTGGCACATCCCACTACAACTTAGCACTTAAACTGACCTGTTAAATGATACCTGGCTGTGGCACAGGAGAACAAAAACTCACCTCAGAGGGGACAGGAGGTAAAGGAAAGACTCATTACAGCGATGAATTCTTACATGAGCCCCCACCAAGGTGTCAGAGCTCTTGGCCAGCGTCTGTTTGTACACCTGGCTCATGATCACCATGGGGAACACCTCCGGGATGCCATGGGCATGGCAGGCAATCTTGGCTCTTCTGGTTGTGCCCTCAACTGCAAAGGAAGTTACAGGAGACACTTGACAAGAACAGAATGGTTCGCTAGCCACCATCATCTAGCAGCCACACAAGAAAAGCATCAGCTTTGAAAGAACTGTCCAACTCTGTCGTCTCATACACCAGCCATACCACCACCAATGCAACTTTGCTGTCCCATCTAACACGCTGCCACTCTGACTAGCATAAACAAAACACTAACCTTATTTTTCCCCTCTAAGCTGAGAGGGGTCTAACTCCACTGCACATCTTTGCAGACACAGGACTGGGAGTCCACTCAGAGTCCACATCACTCCTCAGCTTCGCCACCAACACCCGAGCACCCAGAGACAGATCACTACTTATTCAGAACCCCACTCAGGACAAGGAGCTCAGGCTGAGAAGCAGCTTGTGGTACCTTGCTGTGCCCAGGCAAGTTTCCTCCCAGACCTGAGGCACGCAGTCATCCCAAAGGGGTTTGTCGTGAGGCATGAGCGTATCCAACTCTCCAGCTTGGTGAAGGAGAAGCCTTTGGTGATCTTCGAGTAGCCATTTTCCCCATGAAAGGGTTGCCAGAGAGCAAGCTCGTGCAGAGGATGGACAGTCCCCGAGTTGTTCACAGTGCCTTCAATAAGGAAGCTGAGGGCACGGACAGCTTCACAGGACACTAGARGACTATGCGTGGAGTGGAAGGAGGCAGGGAGCTGCTCCGGATCCAGCAGCAGCTCCAGCATATCCGAGAGGTGGCTCTGCACGAATACTTGGTGGTCCTGATCATTCCAGTTCTGAGCGAGAGGGAAGAACAAACAAGAATAAGATGAGTTCTCCCAAATCTTGACGAGTCCCATCGACATTACACAGGATTCTTTGCTTGCCCTAGAATCACGGTGGCTCTAAAAGAACGAAAGCAAGAGAAACGCACCGTTCTCTCCTTCTGCCCGCGGCTACAGCCAGTCTGCACTCCCAAATCAAACCAAGAAACATTTATTAAGTCTTTTAAAGTTACCAAACGCCCCTTCATTCTGAACTCCAGGTCACTGYGTCACATGGCTCTTAATGTCACAGCCGGGACAGAAATGTGCTGAGGTTTCCTGCTGGCCTTTCTAACATTGCTGACAGTCTGCGATTAGCTCTCACACACACAGCAGACCACGAGCTGGGACTGATAACTCCTGTCTATTTATTTAGGAACACCTGATGCAGGATGGTGTCACGCTCATGCTGTTTACATGCAGTTGAGCAGCCAGTCACCTCTGCAAAGATACAGCAATATTTACATAAACGCTGCTCTAAAACCCTTAGTATTTCCCCAAGGCTTAGAAAAACGACTCAGACTGGATGCCAACTTTGCAGGCGTGCACCAGGCGGGGCTGTGCACCCTTCCCAACGCCCCTGGAGCCCGCAGGCACCAGCCAAATACCTTGTGTTGGCCGTGGGCTTTGCCAGCCAGGCTGGGAGCCCTGGCCCTGGGGCTGGGCCATTCATCACCCACGAGCGAGGCGCGCAGGGACACCTTGTTGAGCTGCTGCACGTAGAGGAAGAGCAGGAACTGCAGCGTGTCCACCGAGAGCTGGGCAAGCAGGGAGAAACGGCGGGTTAGAGGCGGACAGAGTGCGACGGGAAGCGAAATCACGGGAATTTCCCTCGGGAAAGGGGGTGCCTGCCTGGCTGCGCTGCCGCTCGAGCTCTTCGGCGCCGCCGCAGGCCGCCGCCTCGGCCTCGTCCCAGCGGTGCCGGCGGCGCAGGCTGAGGAAGAGCTCGAAGTAGAGCCAGGCGAGGCTGGCGGGGAGCTGCAGCTTCCCGCACGCGATGTGGCGCCACCGCGGCCAGCGCAGCCGCGGGAAGCAGCCGCGCCGCGCCCGCGCGTACGCCGCCATCTTGCGCAGGTAGTGGCGGCCCAGCCTGGCGGGCGGCGGCGCGCGCAGCGCCCCCAGCAGAAACGGCTCCGTCCTCGCCCACAGCCGCGCCGGGCCCGCCGCGGCCTCCGCCATGGCGCGGGCCCACACGAGCGCCGCCGCCGCGCGCCGCCCGCTCCGTGGCCCAGGAGCCGCCCGCCATTGGCCGTCCCGAGCACCGCGCCTCCTGATTGGTCCCCCCGCCCGCGGCAGGTCCCACCCTCGCGCTCGACAGTTTCCGCCGCGCCGGCGACTCTCTCCCGATCGCCGGGAGCTGATGCCGCGGCCCTCGATTGGCCGACAGCGCCGAGGCGGTGGTGAAGTGTGCGCGCGCCATTGGCTGGCGGCGCGCAGGGGGCGGGGCGCCGCGCTCCCATTGGGCGGCGGCCTCGGCTCCGTCTCGATGGTGAGCGGCGCGGGCGGCCGCGGCGCTGCGGGCCGCGGGTAGAGAGCGCCGCCATGTCCCCCGCCTCGCTCGGCCGCCTCTGCCTCCTGCTGCTCTGCGTGGGCGGCCAGGCCGCCGCCGGGTGAGTCCTCAGGGGGCCGCGTTACCCCCGCTTCACCTCGCCCTGCGCATGCCCCCCCCCCCCGGTGCTGACGGGGCCGGTGTCCCCCTCACCCCGTGTCACAGGAGGGACTTCTACAAGATCCTGGGGGTGTCCCGCGGCGCCTCCGTGAAGGACATCAAGAAGGCCTACCGCAAACTGGCGCTGCAGCTGCACCCCGACCGCAACCCCGACGACCCCCGCGCGCAGGAGAGGTTCCAGGACCTGGGTGCTGCCTACGAGGTGAGGCCCCCCCGGGCAAAGCCGTGGCCTCAGCCCGCTGCCGTGAAGGGCCCCGTGCGCTTAGGGAGCTTGTTTTGCTGGAGGAAAGTCTCGGYGTCCCCTCTCAGCATCCAAACACCTCCGCCAGCATCCAGGCATCGCCCTGGCGGAAGGTAAAGACAGCGGGTTCAAGGGTTTTTTGYTGTTTGGGGATGGTTTGGCGTGTGGAGAACACAGGGGAAGAAAGAGAGCTGCAGAAGAAACCAAATCGGAGCGTGTAGATGGACTGTGGGTGATTCTGGCTCGCGTGAAAGGTTTTCAGCTTGCCTCTTTCTGGGCCTATTAAGGTGCTGGGGAAAAATGTAGCAGTGAATCATACATGCATGAGGAATTTTTATTTTTTTTTTTGCTACTGTACAAATAACGCGTTAATAGTTTTAATAGAAGATACTACATTAAGCGAAGCGTCGTCCTTCAGCTGGCAGAGCTGCTTCCCCACGTGTTTCTGCTCGAGCCTTCTGGGAGCTGCCCTGGCGATTCTAGTCTCCGAAAACATAGTCAGTAGGTCAGGTTGGGGAAAAACCAGARCTGAATCTGATCCTGAAACCTCATGATCCCCGGAGGGCGGAGCAAAGACCTGTGCTGAGAAAGGACATGTGTGTTAGGATACTTAATTCTGCCTCAGTGCTGCAGTTACTCCTTGCTGCCGCTCAGGAATGAGGACCCCATTCCTGCTATCACAAAGTTACTGCCTTTGGAGGTAACCTGGTTGAGACATCGCTAAATTCCTTGTCCCTTTGCCTTCCGCATGCCCAGGTGCTGTCAGACGAGGAGAAGAGGAAGCAGTACGATGCGTACGGTGAAGAGGGGCTGAAAGACGGGCACCAGAGCTCCCATGGAGACATCTTCTCGCAGTAAGGAGGCCTTGTCCCTGCTGGATGTTCTGTGCTCAGAGTTCTGACCGTATCTGCTGACCTCTCGYCCTCTTCTGCCTGTTCGGTTCCTGTGTGCCATTGACGTTTAATCCATTGTCACAGGTCATGAGTGCACTTTGGGGGTCCTTTTTCTCTTACGAGCCAGTGCTGCGCTGATAAATACAACAGAGCAGCTGTGGAGCTTGTTGCATGTTGCTCAGTTTGTTTAACATCATTAATTTTGGCTGGGAACAAATTCCCTAGCATAATTCAGTAAGGTGCTATGATCCTTCCAGGTGAGAAGGGTCTGTCCGCGGGGCTGTTTTGAGGAAGACCGTTCAAGTTTACTGCAGAGTTGTTTTCTCATCACTCTTGTCCCAGGCTGCAGCCCATTGCTCTGTGCAGCAAAGTCTTGTCTGGTGGGAATTTCTTTCCGGACTAATAGGTGTCTTTTGCTCTGTAGCTTTTTTGGGGACTTTGGATTCATGTTTGGAGGGAATCCTCGCCAGCAAGACAGAAACATTCCCCGAGGAAGCGACATCATCGTGGACCTGGAAGTTACCTTGGAGGAGGTTTATTCAGGAAACTTTGTGGAAGTAAGTTTGCTTTSCTATGTCTTAGTCTCCTCAGTGTGCTCTTAATTTTGAGAATTGCTGGCCTGGTGGCTGATTGAAATGATGTTTTCTGAAAAAAGTGGTACTAAAATAGACACTTGTTTTCTGAGTACCTGGCAATGAGAGCAGATGTTGTGAGAGTATTTGCTAGTACTTAACTGAAGAAACAATAATATTTATTCATCTTTTAATGTATAAAGTTTGCCTTCAAAGAGATGTGTCTTGTGATAATTATTACGGTTTAAGAGTTGCTAGTTCTTAGCTGCTCCCTCCTTGCAGTAGCCTGCTTGAAAAAGACATTACTAGTCCCYCCGCAGGCACATGGCTTAATTCTTGTGTTTTCAGCCTTTCTTGTAAAGTYGCATTGTGCGTTTTAATGTCCTCTCTATACAGCCAAATATTTAAAAGCAACTTTCTGGGTTACGTCCCTAGCAAACAGATGGTGCATTTTGCTTTTGCTAGCTGTATTTATCGGCTATCAAATATAGCAGTGTCGTATTTTACAGTGGGATAAATGCAGCCGTTCTTTCTCTCACACAGGTTGTTCGAAACAAGCCCGTGGCAAGACAGGCACCTGGCAAGCGGAAATGCAATTGTCGGCAGGAGATGAGAACCACCCAGCTGGGCCCTGGCCGTTTCCAGATGACTCAAGAAGTAGTTTGTGATGAATGTCCCAATGTCAAGTGAGTCTTTACTGCAGTGTGTCTAATCAAAGTCTGCCACTAGGTGGGGGAAAGTRCCTGTACTACAAGTAAGTTTGGAGAAGCTTGCCGTTTCCAAGCAGGCAATCTTTACTCTTACAATAAAGCTCTTTATTCCTAGAACAATTTAATTGTGGCATAAGTTCCACAATTAAATCTGCATAAACAGAAGCAAAGATGGACAAGCCCACAGTTCCCAAATGTGAACATCTAGGCAGGGAATACTGCGTCATAGTCACATATAATTATAAAATAAGTAGGTGCCACCACCTGCTGCTGTTGACACAGCACGACCCTTTGCCTGCTTCTGTCCTTTACAGGCTTGTGAATGAAGAGCGGACGCTAGAAGTGGAGATAGAGCCTGGTGTGAGAGACGGAATGGAGTATCCCTTCATCGGGGAAGGTATGTGTAGGGTCTCTGCCACGTTGCTCTGCTTTACTTGCTCCTTCTGCCACACGAGGCTGGTCTTCATGGCAGTGTCCTGTAGCATGTGGGCAAATCTTTTCAGAAGAGCAGAGAGTAGAAAATCATTGAGACAATGTGAAAATCTTAGATTCTTGATAAGGGAATAGATGTTAGCAAGGTTTTAGCCATGATCTTGACTTTTTGAAACCAATGTGAAGAACAGGCTTGTCAGGTCTTTAGTATGCTATTGATTTCTCTAGCTGCTCCTTTTAACAGAGCTTTTCTTATTTCACAGGCGAACCTCATGTGGATGGAGAGCCAGGTGATCTGCGCTTCCGAATAAAAGTTCTTAAGTAAGTCACTTGCCTAGTTAGACTCCTTTGATTATTATACATGAAGCTCTAAAGCAATTTTCTGGCTGGTGTTGCCTGCTTTGCTAGCACATAACCTACCCCTCAGTGGTGGTCTGGTGCTTAGAGCTGTGCAGAATGTTTTACCCTAAGTGTGCTGGAGTATCCAGACTGACCACTGTTAACATTCCTTGAAGYTAGTTTATTTTTCCTTTGGCTTGAATTCAGCAGTAAGTTTTAGCTCCTGCATGAGTCAGAAAATACTTCTTTTTTTCCCTCCATAAACTTACTATCTCTCCCTGTTGTGTGACTCACAATTTTCTTAGTAGTATATTTCCTTACAACCTCCTGACAACGCCTCACCACCCATTGCACTAAAATAGAAAGGTTATTAGTGGCATATATTTTAATTAGGAAACAATGCTGGATTTCATTCATTCTTCCTTTCTCTGAAGTGTGCGAGTTCTCTGAACTCTTTCCCAAAAAGAGTCAGGGGAAAGCAAAGTTCAGATTTCTTTCTTTTTTTCTTCTTTTATTTTTTTCTTTTTTTTTTTTTTCTCCCCACAGGCATCCAGTCTTTGAAAGAAGAGGGGATGATCTGTATACAAATGTGACAGTCTCGCTGGTCGAGGCACTTACAGGCTTTGAAATGGATATTGCCCACTTGGATGGGCACAAGGTGAGGCAGCTGTTTGCTTTTCTGCTCTTGGCAAAAAAATCTGAGCTGCAGGTTACTTACGGCCTGGTCTGCTTTGTGCAGGGCTSTCTGTAGCTGCGGGTTATATTCAGTATCCCCCTCTGCTGCGGACTCTGAATAACCAAAGAGATTTCTCAAAGCAATACAATGTGCCTTTTGCTAAGGAGTACATAATGCAAGTCCAGGCTTTCAAAGCAGCTACTACATTTTTTTTTTTGTCTTGGGTGTTGTGAGTAGTGTGAATGTTGATGACTTTTGCCAGAAATTAGTATCAATTGTAGCTTTTCAGTGGGTTGGAAAGGGCGTTTTGGGGCATTTGGGTACGTGCACAGAACAGTAATGCTGTTTTGAAATTCCTCTTGTCTCTAGGTTCACATTGCTCGAGACAAAATTACAAAACCTGGGGCCAAGGTGTGGAAGAAAGGAGAGGGCCTTCCAAATTTTGATAACAACAACATCAAAGGCTCATTAATAATAACATTTGACGTGGAGTTCCCCAAAGAGCAGCTGACAAACGAACAGCGGGAAGGTGTGTGCTTTAAAACTCCATCGTGGCAGCAGGTTGTGCTGATCTGTCACCAAAGCTGATAAGTGGGTGCAACCAGACCAGGGGCCTGTAGTGGCCCATGAGGATTCAATAGGATTCTCCTGTCCATGTATCCATTGCACAACATAATGTGGTTTGCCCAAAGCCCTGGGAGCAACTTTCACTTGTTTTCTTTTTGGAGGTGAAYGATCTTGGCTGCTGTAGCTGCAGGGAACCAGATAAGGTTGGATGTAGTTTTTGGCAGGCCTGCTTTTCCTTTGTAGCTGGCCATCTGTCTGAAGGAAAGGACTTAGTGGAGCTAGCCCCTGCCTGCTTCACGTTTGCTAGAATGGGATCCCTTTCCAGGCCAAACTCTCACTTTTTTTGGAGAAAAGATTGGTGGAARAGCATCTTACTGTTATGGGTAAACAGAGCCATGCACCATTAGAAGAAGGATTGTTCCTCCCTACTTCTCCCATCTCTGTTAGCACTTCACAGCGAGGAGGGAGGCGGCAACACRGACGTGTAGACCTGTTTGGTAGGGAACATCTGCTGCCCAGCTGTAGCGCTCGCATGGAAGCTCATGATTGAGCCTTCTAAACATCCTGGAATTGGTAGGAGAATAAATCCTCCAGCTTGGAGTCGTGGCTGGACATKCTCCTCCATTTCAGGAAGTTCTGTTGAAGTACTCAGGGTGTCAGAGGAGGCATCAAGGGATCCATCTTTTGCTGTGGGACAAAGATGTTCCTGGCACGGTTCCTGTCCCCAGAACTTCTTCCCACCATGCCAAGGCATAGTACTTCCTTGTTCAGAAGGTGCCGTTTGCTGGATTTTGACAGCTGTCTTGGTGAAAGGAGGCAAACGTGAGGCTCTTCTGGACTGTAGGAGTGTGTAAGGGGAAGTCGGACCCTGAGTGGAGTCGTCTCAGCCCCACAGGTGGTTACTGCTGCCTTGGCAGGTGACGTGCATCAGAGGTGGTCATCTGCAGTGACCGCTTCAGCGTGATGTCCCCTGCCACCAGGCTCTGCTGCTGTTCTCCAAACTTTTAAGGCCGCTTCTCTCATTACAAGTGACATTTATACATCTCTTGCTCTTGGCAGTTTACGAAGAGGCTGTGGGCAAAAAGCAGTGACGGAAACCTGCATCTTTCTGTTAAAACTGCCAGCGTGCCCGTACAAATACCCCATGAACAGGGAGATGATAGTGCTGGCATGAGCCTGTTTTAAGAGGGTATGAAACATCGGAATCCTGAAGTGATTCCACCCATCCTAGGGCAGGGATGACTGTGTAAGCGGCCACRTTTGTTTCTGTGTTTGGGAATATACCCAAACATTCAGGGATTTGAGGCGTTTAAGCGAATAGCTGTAGGCATGTCACAGGGCTGCAGCTCAGCGTACGCATCCAAGACTGTAGGCCTCAGAATTCAAAACATCTTTCGTGTTCTTGGCATGGGGCCCGAGTTCTTAATCTCATCAYCATATTTACAGCTTCTGGGGCAGGCAGGAGATGCTCTTGCTCGGTGCCCTTCGCTCAGCCTGCAGCCACCGAGTCAGGGAAACAATGTGTTCTCTTTCCTACTGCTTTAACATTGGGGAGCTTGTTGCCTGCTGATCAAAGGACTTTCTTTTCTTTAACTTGTCCAGTTCTTCTTTAGCAGTGTTTGCTTATGGTACTTTTTGGGCATTTGAATCCTGTGCTTTAAATCTAGAGCATTAGGGGAATAGCAGCAGGCAGAAAGGACCAYGGGTTGCTCTGTAACCTGCGAGCAGCAGAAAAGGAAACCTGAGTTGGCTCTGGTGTATGCRTATTGGGTTTGGTAACACCAAACCGTGGGATTCCTGGCCAAACCAAATGCGGAGAGTTGGGGTTGGAGTGCTGGGAATCCGTCGAAATATCCTGTAAGCTCCTGACTCTGTTCTTCAAGTCAGGATTCAGTTACCTGGAACCAGCTAGCTGGAAACGTGAGGAATGGGAAYGTTGCTGACCCCATTTTATGCCGGGCTGCTGGAGCACTCCTTGCTGCAGCTATGTCCTTCCTTTCCAAGAGCTCCATAGCCCTGGGGCACAACATCCTCTTACACATTAGCCAGGAAGCAGCTTTGAGCCCTTCCTTGACTGCAGAGGGGAAGTGAACTTACCTTCCCCTCCCCTGAAACAGTTCAGAAGCACTGCCGTCTCTGACAGCAGTGTCCATTCCAGGTCTTGCTTCCAGGCTGGTTTTTATTTTTCACAGGGTTRCTGTGGCCTTAATGCATCAAAACGACCATCTTAAAGGACGGTACTGTGAGAATGGGCTGAGCATAGAAAAGCAGGACAAGGTTTAGAGGGATATTATCATTTAATTGGGTCTCCTGAAGAAGGACTCGTATGTGTAAGTGGAGCAGCCAGAAGTGACCAGCACAAAAGAAGGTTTGTTTTTCAGGAACATAGCTTCCTCGAGCAGCTCCCAGTATGGTTTAACGGGGAGGACAGGAGCAAAAAGCTACAGTCTGGACTGAGATGGTCCATGAGATAACATGCTGGAAAAGAGGCATATTCCTCCCCTGGGTCAGGCTGAGGTGCAAGCCAGCTGCCAGGATGCTTCCTTCTCTAAAGGTTGATGCTGGGGCATTTCCAAAAGTGTTTTTATAGCAACTTGGCTTAATTTTTTTAGCTTTTAAATCCCCTGTGTGCAGGCTGACACGGAAGAAGGAGTCCCTTCAGGTTACTCCCAAGGAAAGTGTCTCTGGAATTTCTTTGGAAAAGCAGAGTGAGCCGAGTTCTGGGCAGCCTCCTCCCTTGGCCCACRTCGTGCAGCCTTGACCCGAAACAGCAGCAAGGGCAGATGTCTCTCCCCACTGACCCCAGCATTGGGCTGCTGCGGCTTCAGGGCTGAGTCACTCTCTCTTACATTGTCATGCCCTGATAAGAAGCCAATGCTGACAGGACGTGCGCACACTCAATCCYTTTGAAGTGTTTTATGGACAGGTTTTCGCTCTTTTGGGGATGCTTTTTCTTTGCAAAGGCAGGATCCAGGCTGGGGATGTGATCTGCTGGCCTCTGCTGTAAAGCAGCGGCTCTAGAGCTGCAGCTTTGCGTAGCGCACTGAAGCCCTCTGMTAACAAGTTGGCTTCTCACTTGCCTCCAGGGTCTGCCTGTCCTGGATGACAGCAGCCACAGACACCACGTGGGAAGCTCTGCTCCGGAATCACTCGCGTTGATTCCTCCTGAATTTGCACACTAGAAAAACCCAGCGTAGCCCTTCTGAACTTTGCACTAGCTGATTTCCTCCTGGCCGCAGAGAGAGCGTGGGGAGACAAGCTCCACAAGGCCAGAAGTAATCTTCGGAAATAACCAAAAAGCTATTGTTAGTTTTGCTTAGAGTGGCAGAGCTGCTTTTGGCTTCAGCAGGGAAGTGCCTCTGGAGGTCCTTTTCACATGTCACCCATCTGTGAAGATCTTGGAGCACTGAATTTGGAGCTTGCAACACAACAGTTTTCTGCCTGGATCCCGTGGTGCTGCGTGGCCTCGAGTGTATAGGAAAACACAGTTACAGCATTATTAGCCTTGGTCCTATTTACTCTTCTAAAAATACTGAACAAGCAGCAGTAAAGGTGTTGCTCCTTGTTTTTATTTTTCTAACAAAGCTCTTGGTGTCAGAGCTTTAGCCCTGTTGTTCAGTTCTGGACCTTGGAAGGCTAGTGCCTGCAAATTGGATGCAAAGTGTAACGGGAATGGGGAATGCAGAGCCCTGTCGGTGCTGTGCTGTAACTCCTTCCCTTCTCTTCTTTTACAGGTCTCAAACAGCTATTGAAGCAAGGATCAGCGCAGAAGGTGTACAATGGATTGCAGGGATATTAGTTTGGGGGAAAAAAAAGGACTTAATTGTGAAATGAAAAGTCAGGTTTGTCTGAAGTCTGTTCTGCCCATTGTAGAATGAGAAAGAGGGAGGGGGGAGCAATTGTTGAGGTATATATAATTTTTTTTTTTTTTTTTTTTTTTGTAAACAATGAAAGTGCTCAGATGAGTTGGGGAAAACTCTATCCTTTTCAGGACATAACTGGTGCTGCCTATAGTGTTCAATGTCCTGGAACAATGAAAAGACTTCTTGTGGGGAAAGGAGTTGTAAATTCCATGCAGGTTGGAGTTTCTGGTTTTTAAATATATTTTGATGTGACTTTTCTTGGCCATCTCAACATATTTTCATAGTTTCTCCTGCTTTTTTGTCCTTTGTGTCAGTCTCTTCTAAGTTTCTCTTTCGGATTGAAGCCCTGTCTTCCTTTTCCCTCCAAGTCCAGAGTGTGTTCCAGTTTCAGAGGGCGTTTCTGGGGCCATAGTACARGTGCTGTTGAGAGTGGACTGCAGGAAGGGCTTTATATGCTGTTAGGGCTCCACATGTGATTGAGAAAACAGAGGAGAGAAAACGGGTAAAAAGCCTTCCTTGGGCTCTCTTATCTGCCAGGAAGTCCTCTCGTCCTCAAATTTCACAGCGGATCTTGTTTTTTGGAGTCACAGCTACTTTCTGGCTTAGCAAAGACACCTCAGACCTTCATACCATGGGATTTTGGAAGACATAATGAAAAAGACTCCTTGTGATCTTGGTTTTTCCTCAACTGTAACTGGCAGCTTGGCTGGAAAAGTTCACTTACCTCTTGCACTCTGTCCTCTATGAGGACAGGTGAAGCTAACAGCACAGAAATAAAGATATTTGAGTTGGAAGAGCAAACTACCTGGTTATGTATTTTAGCAGAACTGATGCTGCTGTAGCTGTGAGTTACTGGACTGATGTAGGAAGGCTCTGCCTGTGAGAGGAGCATCCAGCTGCTCTTAAGTGGTGAAACTAGAGCTGCTGGTGCCAGCTAATGCTCTGTAGCTGCTTTATTTGAACTGAGAGGCCGGTGCATCAGCTGTGAAGTACCTGTGCTGCTGTGCTCTGTGTCGTGAAGGCAGCCCTGTTAGAAGTGTTCACCTCCACATGTCCTTTGGTGCTTTGGGAGCAGTAGCTTAAAAAAACAGACCTCAGAGGTGCCTATGTAAAGTTTTCTTGTGTTGTTTCTTTTCACTTGTGCAAAATGCCTCTGAATGTGGGAAGGTGAAGAGCCCTGGAGCCCCCCTGCTTACTGCCAGCCAGTGGCCCAGCCCTGTCCAACGAAGCCTCCACTTCTCACYGAGCAGCAGAAGCTGACGCATCGGAAACACAGCGCAGGGAAGGCTTCCTGTTGGATCCCTTGCACGTTTGCCTTGGCAGAGGGAGATGGGGGCTTCACGAATGGCCAAWAAATATGGGCCAGACAAACCCTGTCTCCAAGGCATTCAGTTGTGCTTTTAGCTCTTCCTCAAAACCTTCCTCTGGCTGAGCTAGCCACCTGCAGCGGCAGCCCTTTTGGGGACTGGCTTCTCCCAAGCCCACAGTCAGCTGCCCCCCGCCAGCTTGGCTTTGGTGGAGTTCRCAAAAATACACCTCATATCCCTGTGCGCGAGGCTGCTTCCAGTTACACCAGCCCCAGGAGAATTCACCTACCAAAGGCTCCCCTCAGCCCAGTGGCCTTGCCTGTCTTCCTTTTCTATCAGCGTATGCCCATGCTGCCAAATTTCATCTGAATTGCCTCAGAAGTAGCCTGGATTTCACAGAAACTGGTAGGAATCATGTGCCTGACACTGTGAGACTCTTGCCCTGCTTTTGCCTTGGCTCCGTTCCTCCTGTCGCTTTGTAGCTCACCGTGCGCTCCGTGTCTGTGCCCTTTGGTGGTCACCTGTGGTCGGGTAGGGACACAGAGATGTGATAGCTGGGTGCATTCTCCRCCAGCGACAAGGGACTTTGGGGGCTCGAGGGTGCTGCGAGAAGCGCAGATGTACAACTGTCCTCTCCGCAGAGCCTGTGGGAGCAGCGTGGCCCTGTCAGCATCAACAGGAACTGCAGGAACTGGAGCCAAAGAGCCACGTTTCCCGTTCAGCGCCTGTTGCTTTTGAGCAACCCACCCTGACCCAAGAGGCTGTGCCTGCTTTCGGGCTCTGTGCAGAAGAGGTAGCAAAAAACCCGCTTCCCTTTTGGCACTTCTATAGGTAGGGCTGGCCAACCCTGTGTACTTTTCTTAGAGCTAAAGAGGGGCTTTCGCTCACCTGCTTCGTCGCACTGCCTGTTGTGACAACAGCAAAGAACTGAGAACTTGCCCCTGGACACGGCCCTGGGCATGAGGGTTTTGGCATAGCCCCTTCGTCTCCACACCCTAGCAGCGCCCTCATTTAGAGCACAAGTGCTTGTTCCTGCCACCGCTTTCCCTTTCCCTGCTAATTCTTTTTCTTCCTGTGAGTGTTTTCTTAAGCTGCGCGGGTTTGCGCAGCTTCAGGAAGCCCGTCAAGCAGCAACAATAGCAGCTGCAGAAGCAGCAGGTTTGGCCAGGGGGAGACCCAGCGACAATTCAGACTTACTCCCATGTTTGTGCTGCAGGTAATTCAAAGAAACATGAGCCAGGAAGGGGAGAAGGGCAACCCCCCTAATCCTACCAACTGATGCTGCTTCTGGCTTCCTTTCCTGCCCTGCATTGCGCCTGCGCAGCTGCAATTCTCCATTCTTCCTACCTGCCGGGGTTTCTGTGCTTCCTTTCTCTCCAGGCAGTAGCCTACCCTAATGCTTCCCAGGGTCCAGTTAGGACCAAATAGGTCCAGTTACCTATTTCCACTCTCTCGGTCTTCGTCTGCTTGCCCCATAGTGACTGCAAGTCCTAGAAACATCTTTCAAGAATGGCTCACAATGAGTTCTTGGCATTTAAAGGAGCTCGTGGGCACTGCTTGGCTAAAATGGAACCCTGTTTTCTCAACGGAATGGTTTTGATCACTTCCAAAAGCGGTTCAGATAGACTTCTCCAAGCAGAATACTTGCCTGCTCACGTAAGATATCTGGGGAAGGCCACCTGTTTTTCAGCCGGTTTGTTGAGCAGGTTCGCTTACTAGCACGGTTTTACCGAGTTTGACCTTGAGGTTAAGAGTAGGATTCAACCCCAAAAGTATATGTTGCTTTTGCAAAGGGCGTCTTAGCAACCAATGTCTTTTCAGGAGCTAGAGAAGCAGAGGCTGCTGCATTCACCTSGTTCAAGTTTTCACGGCACAGTCTGGGCATGCTGAGTATGAAGTTGCCTGTCCCAGAGCAGRTGATGCTCTCGTCCCTGTGCTTTGAGGCCCAGACACTACAACCTGCCCAAAGGTGTTTTGAGGCCACACAGAGAAGCTTCAGAATGGAGCAGCCAAGTCGTGAGGAGACACCTGGCACCATGGAGCTCCGTTCCCCAGGTTTGCTGCCCTTCCACAGCGAGTTAAACTGCTTATGGAGAGCGTTCCCTCCTCTTGTCCTCTTCTCAGACCCCAGGCAGGGAGTGAAAGAGTCCCCGGTTCCTCTTCCGTGGAAACATGTCTGTAAAAACAGTGTGGACTGGTTTGTTTTTTCCTAAGACCTTGTTATTTTAAAGCACTTATCTGTATTTGAAGTTTTTTATTTGTATGAGACAGCGGAGATAAGAGAGGAGACGCGGCCGCCGCCAAGAGAAGACTGCTCTGCTGCTGAAGGTTCTTAGGTTTGGCACACTCGTTCCTTGAGCGCAGTTCCTCACACACCTCGCCATCTCGCAAAGGGACCTCACTGTTTTGCAGGGGAACCGTTTGCTCAGACCACAGCCGTCCTTGCCACGCAGGTAGCCACAGAGCAGAGCGAGGGGCTGTGACAGGAAGGGTGGCACAGAGGGCTCTTGGGCGTCTCGTTTGGCACGTCACAGTGGTGTCCTGCTGCCCAAAAGCCTCCTCTTGTGCAGATTGCTAAGGAGCTGCACTCAGTATTGACTCTGGCCAGAAGCCAGCTTTCTCCTCCTATTTCCTCTGGCCGTGTCAGGCATAGTGACCTGGGAGTTGAAAGGAAAAGGGAAAGGGCAGTGATGGTTCCTGGGCACCCACATGCCCTGCAGGGAGGGTCTCCAGCATCAGCACAGCCTCATCCTCCACCCTTAAATATTTCAGGCGATGTGCCTGCTCTGCCTGCATGGGGATGATGGAAAACAGGCATTGAGTCAGCTTTGATATCCTGTGCCCTCTCACATACCTCGTCACCCAGCCTCCTCCCGTGCTCTTGCAGGAAGAAGCAGGATCTCATGGATGAGGATGATACCCTGAGCACCAGGAGGACTAGTGAATCTGGGCTGGAGAAGGCAAAAGTCACATGGGAACCCCACATTACTTGCTCCACTATGCAAGTAACTGCCAACCTTCTCAGTGTTGTGGCCTTGTCCTCATATTTATTTGCTCTGTGCAAACTCAGCTATTGCGTATCTRGAGAAGGTCAGTGCGCAAATGAAAAAAGGCCAAGATGGATAGGAATAACGTGACATGAGCAAATCCTCGTGCCYAAGAACCCCAAGTTCAGCACAGCTCAAAATCATATTGCCAAAAAAAGGCAGCTCTTTTGCTCTAGGAGGACATGCTAGCTCTGTCTCAAGACTGTCCACGTAACAGAGCCGCTCGCCCCAGCACTGATGTGGGTTACATCTGCATTCAGAAAGTTGGGCTAAAACTGGAAATTCCAAAAGCAAAAACATTTGGGGCTRTGAAAATGTGACCTTTGAGGAAAAGTTGGAAAGAACAGAACTTGTTTAGTCCAGAAAAGAGTGGATGATGTCATCCTAGGCACCAAACGCYGCATGTTTATGAAAATAAGCTCTTCTTCCTGGCCCCACTGTGAGTAAAGATTAACGGCTTAACTTTGAGGAAAGGAGACCTCAGCTCTGTGATAGATGGAGAGCTTGGCATAGCTGGAGGTCCTTGGGGGTGATGCAGGGACAYGGCATCCTTGTTCCTGAGAGAACAGGAGGAGGGGGATGTGAGGGGAGATCCTGACCCATGGAGGGACAAGACACCAAAAATGATCCACTTGCAACCATCCCAGCTCCTGGTGGTCTTCAAAGGCCCCAGCTTATCCATCCCTGTCCCAGCACGAGCTACAGCTTGTCACCGAGTGCGGCAGCCTCCCAAAACAGGGCCTGGGAAAGGAGAAAGGCCCGACTTGGAGTCCACCAGTCTCGGCTGGTGCTTGGAGCCAAGGCTGCTTTGACACCAAGGCTGGAGACTCTTGAAGGCCACGGCAGAGGGAGGCTGACCTTGCACAGAGCCACTGTGCAAAAGGCTCCAAACAGGGAGCTGGGAACAACAGGGGATCGCATGTTCCTGCCAGACTCTGAACACACTGACCCACCTTCAACCCACAGATTCGCAGCCTCCTTTTCCAGTACCTCCAGCCTTGCGTGCTTGAGCAGGACCCCATGGTGAGTGATGCCGTGCCCATCTCTGAGTCAGTAACGGAGGAAAGGAGCTTGCCGTGTGCGCAAGTGCTCTTAGTCGTCGCATGTGCTGGCCATGTGCCGCCCCTTGGAAGGCGTTTGCAAGGGATTATTCATTCCTGTGGCATCGGCTCTGAATGAAGCAAAATGAAGTCCTCAGCCAGGACAAGCCCTGTGTAAGGGGAGTTGCTTTGGTTAAACCCTCTTGTGGGATGTTTATGGAGGGGAAGAGGAAATTCAACTGATAGCATGTTGGCATCGCCTTACTGGAACAACATACTGCGTTCAACAGTGAGCATCTTATCTCAACAGCTACCCAAAATAATGATAGCAGAGCTGAGTGATGGAAAACAAAGATAGCGATGAGTGAGGCAAAGGGTTTGGTGAGTGGAAACCCAAGCTCGTAAGGCCACTAATGCACAGAAACGGGGGCTGTTTGCTCTGTGGAGTGCACGGAGCTCTCCAGAAAGCAAGAGCCACAGGGCGGATCTAGAGAGCTCTCATTCTGCACCGTGCGCTTAGGCCTTGGCATGTGTCCCGAGCCACGAGCAAGGACGGAAGCATGGCCAAATTTGGAGAAGGACCAGCCGCGGACATGGACACCAGCTGCCAAAGAGATGGTAAATATTTAGGTAGCKCATTGGATCCTTCCTTTCGCTCTCTGCTGGTCTCTCCATCTTTGGTCACAGTTTGGGGGAAAGATGTAGAAAGTTCGGACAAAGATGTAGAAAGTTTGGACAAAGGGCAACCTTTTTTTTTTTTGCTGCCTTTCTCCACTCTTTTGGTATTCCTGAGGTCCAAACATTGCTGCAGGCATGGGGGGGATTTTGCAGGCATGGAGGGGGCATCCTGTGTATGGGCGGTGAGGAGCCCATGGGCCACCGTTTGAGCTGCGGGATGGATCCCAGCAAGTGCTGCAGAGCCCGGTTCTGGACTAGCTAGTGCTGATTGCAATCGCTGGTAGGCTCAAGAAGGCAGCAATGAGGTCGGCCTTTCTTGCAGCGCGCGGCCGCACAAGCTCAGGGGCCCAGGGGAGAGGAAAAAGGCTTTCCCGGAGCTGTTTAAAGTACGGACTTCCTAATCTGCCCCACAGATGACGCATTTCAAAAGCGAGGAGCAAAACAAGCCCTGTTGTTCCAGGCGCTTTGCTTTCTCCTGCCCRCAGCACCCTGGGTAGCAGCTCTGCTCAAAGCCCATGTCTGCCCAGAGCCCATACTGTGCGTCCCCCATGAGCTGATTTTGAGGACCAGGAAGCTGAGTATGGAGCAGGTCTCCCACCCTGCTGTGACAGGGCACCTCRGGCCCTGTAAGTGAGTTACCTGGCTGCACCCCAAAGCTATGGCCCTGCGGAGAGCTTTGGTTGAACCTGCCTCAACTCTGGCCCGTTGCTCTCTGCTTCTCATGAGGGAGTGAGGAGGCCTCGGTAGGGAAACTGCTCAGCTCAAATGTGTCCCTGTATGGGAAAGCCAAAAGCGGAGGCCCACAGAGATGTGGATGCAGAGGCCTCTTCCTCCTGGAAGTGACTAACAAGGAGATACAGGGATGGCGAGGCTGAGATGGACCTTCAGACCATCACCCCATCTCCATGCTAGGGACCATGCAGCCGTGCAGGGCTTGCCGTGGAGCAGAGCTCACAGCAAGGCCTGCTGAGATGCTGCACAGTGATGTTTGTGTGTTTTACTGTCCCTGTTTTGATTCCCCTTCAAGCTTGGCCGGCATTTCGGTTTCGCAAACGAATCCACTGAAGGGTGGGGAGAGCTGCGGTCCCGTCGCGGCCGGACCTGGCTAGGGGAGAGCGGCCACATTGCTCTGGTGGAGGAGCAGCCATGAGGGCCTGGCAGCTCGAGTGGATGAAACACAGTCTTTGGAGACCTCTTTCCACGTCCCTCGTTGCAGGCACCACTATGTCATCCTCCCATCCCATTTCGATCACTCATTTCTTTCCCCGGCCCACCCTTGCTTTCTGGTGGTTGCTCTGACCAGGAAGAGAGGGTATTTAGAAATGGAGAAGCTGGAAGTTAAAGTGGGAGAGCTCCTTGGTGCCTGGAAATAAGTGGCATTTTTGTAACAGGCAAAAGGGACAAAAGGGCCAGGAGTTTCTTACGGGCGTACTCCAAGCCATCAAACCAAAYAGTCCCAGTTTCAATCTTGTCCTTGAAAGAGAAGTGAAATGAAGTCTACCATGCAGCAAGAGGGTCTAGCCTGGGGCATTCCAGTGCCAACCCATGTCCTGGTGCCCATCGTCCCATGCCATCTCTGCCCAGCACTGTGTCCCCCCTTCTCTGCCACCCCACTGGCCCATGTTGCTTGAGACTACCTCTAACTACGAGAGTCAAAATTGCCTCGTTCTATACAGAAAAAACATCCAAAAGGAAAAGTTGGATTTTATTACAGCCAATCTCCAAGCGAGATTATTTTCTGTGCTCGCACACCCAGGCACCAGCCAGCACCAAGACACCCACAAACGTCAGTCAGGACCAGGCTCCCACAATGCGGGCACCACAGGGTGCTGGCCGTCTGCTCCGCGTGCCCTGGGGCCCTCCGGATGGATGACACCAGCCCTTGCGTGCCCATTAGTGGCCTCCTGGCCTTGCTCTGCCGCATATCCCCTTGCGTCGCTCAGCTCCCGGGCATGGGCAAACCTCACGTTTCTGCAGCATGTGCAGACGTCAGCAGCAGACCTGGCATGGGAATAGTCCCCAGAACCAGGTGGGATGGCCCCTGGTGCCAAGCACGCTGGGCAGCTGAGTCCACAGCGCAGTCCGGCGGTGTCAGAAAGGCCAGCAGTCTCCCTCGCTGAGCACGGGCACTGCTCCATCCCCTGGTGCGCACGGGCTGCTAGCAGCTCCCGCCGGTGCACAGGAAGATGCCTGCGGCCATGGCCACCAGGGCCAAGGCCCCGAGGGTCAGGCCCACCACCAGCGGTGTGTGCGAGCGGCTGCTCTGCCTCCCTGCGGGAATGGGAACAGTCAGGGACATGGACACCCCTGTGTCCCTGTCACCCGCCTCGCTCTCAGCACTGCACCAACCTGTCCCAGCACTCTGAGCCCTCAGGATGTCCACACACGTGGTATTGAGGAAGTGCTGGAGGTCCCGCGTGGTCTCAGGGTACTTCATGAGCTCCTGGTGGGCGAAGGTGGCCACGGCGTCCTGGTGGGGCCAGCGGCGCTCCCACGTGGCTGTGGGCACATGGAAGCTGAGGAAGGCTGTGCCGTTGAGGGTCATGTCGTAGAAGCTGCGGGCCGTGCCGTTGGGGAAGAGGTGGCAGCCCAGGAGGCAGCGCAGGATCTGCGTGTCTGCAGTGCGAGGAGAGGAGAGGCAGGTCAGGCACAGCCCTGTCCCCGCTCCCATCCSYATCCCCACTCCCATCYTCGTCCATGGACAGGTCTTGGTACYACAGTCTGTGATAATTGGCTCTGGAACTGCAACTGTTCAGCGATTCAGCTCTCCGGACTTGGACTATAAGAGAGGTGCCCTGCCACTCGCCTGTCCCCGGGCTGCCATCCCAGTGTCTTTAATAGTGCTGCCTGGTAGGGAGGGCTCCCCTTCCCCACTGCCCTGTGGGGTCTGGTGTTCCCATCTTCATGGGTCCATGGAGCCCATTTTCATGAGGTCCCCATTCCCACAGAATCTAATATCCCCATCCACRTCAGGTCTGAGATCTCCATCCCCATAGGATTCATGGTCTCCATCCCAGTGGGGTCCAGCCTCCCTACCCCACTGGGGTCTCCATCCCCACAGGATCCAACATTCCCATTCCCACAGGGTCTGTCATCCCCAGTCCATGGGGTTTGGGGTCCCCATCCCTGCAGGATCTGGGGTCACCAGTTCATGGGCTCCAGGGTCCCCATTCCCAGCACAGGGTCCAGCATCTCCAGCCCATGTGGTCCGGGGTGGCCATGCCAAAGGGTCCAGCCTCCCTAGCCCCACAGGGTCCAGCATCCCCATCCCTGCAGGGTCCATCCCTATGGCATCCAGCATCCCCATCCCCATGGGATTCAGCATCCCGCTCCCCGGTCCCTTCCGGTGTCCAGCTGCCCCGTCRCACTGCTCACATTCAATACGCCTCTCCATATGGATGAGCTTGACCATGTTGGCAAAGTAGTCCAGGTAGGTGGCCACATCCTCCTTCCTGCGTGCCCAGGCGGCCGGTGGCTCCAGGGGCAGCAGCTGGCTGAGGCTGCGCCCCTCGAGGCGGTGGCTCGAGCGCCCGCCCAGYGTCGCGTTGCCCCAGAAGCTGCAGCGCCCGTCGGACACTCGCGTCACCTGCAGCATGGTGAAGGCCAGTGGGGCTGCGGGAGAGGCTGTGGCCACCCCGAAACCTGCTGCCTGGCGGCGACAGCCCCCCGCAGATCTTACCCGCCTGCTCGGCACCGCGCGCCAGGGCCGCGCAGAGGAGCGGGAGGACGAGCATCCTGCGGCGGGACCGGGACGGCGCGGGCACCGCGGCGCTGGCGGCGACGGGGACTTAAGCGCGCGGGGCCGGAGGTGGGGCGCGGCGGCGGGAGGGTGGGCGCGCGGCCAGGGCGCTCCCACTTCCTCAGCCGCGGACACGCGCACCCCTTCCCTGCCGGACGGGACGGGACGGGCTGGCGGGGCCCGTGGCTGCGCGGCGGCCCCGGCAGCGGGGCCGGGAGCCGCACGGGCGCCAGGGGGCGACGCGGGGACACGCGGCCCGCGCGTGACTCAGTTTCCCCCACTAGGGACCAGCGGGGGGTGGGCGTGGCCTCGTGGCTTGTGGGCGGWGCCTCTGCCGCACGTGGGCGTGGCCTCCGGCCTTTGTGGGCGTGTCCTCGGGTGGCGGGCGAGGCTTGCGGGGCGGGGCGGCGGCGGGAGGGCGCAGCGATGGCGGCGGCGCAGGAGCTGGAGAAGCTGCGCATGGCCGGGGCCGGCATGGCCATCGCCGTGCTCACGAGCGGCGGCGACGCGCAAGGTGGGCCCCGCGGCACCTGCCCCCGCGCGTCCCCTCCCCGGGCGGACGGGTGGCGCGGACGCTGCGTGTCCCCACGGCGCCGCGCCCGCTACGTGTCCCCTGGCAGGAGGGGGGGAGGGGAGTGGGGCTGGCCCCGCCGCCACGTGACACGGATGTGTCACCGGCCCGGCCGTGTGGCGTGGATGTGACACCCCCCATCCCGGGGTGCCACCGCGCCCCTCCCCCCCATGGGGCACTCGTGTCCCCGAGGTGAGGTCAGCCCCCCCATGGGGCACTCGTGTCCCCGAGGTGAGGTCAGCCCCCCCATGGGGCACCTCGAGTGTCCCCGAGGTGAGGTCAGCCCCTCCATGGGGCACTCGTGTCCCCAAGGTAAGGTCAGCCCCTCCATGGGACACTTGTGTCCCCGAGGTAAGGTCAGCCCCTCCATGGGGCACTCGTGTCCCCGAGGTGAGGTCAGCCCCCCCATGGGGCACCTCGAGTGTCCCCGAGGTAAGGTCAGCCCCCCCATGGGGCACTCGTGTCCCCGAGTTGAGGTCAGCCCCCCCCATGGGGCACCTCGAGTGTCCCCGAGGTGAGGTCAGCCCCCCCATGGGGCACTCGTGTCCCCGAGGTGAGGTCAGCCCCCCCCATGGGGCACCTCGAGTGTCCCCGAGATAAGGTCAGCCCCTCCATGGGGCACTCGTGTCCCCAAGGTAAGGTCAGCCCCTCCATGGGGCACCTCGAGTGTCCCCGGAGTGGGCTCAGCCCCGCCGTGTGGCACTCGTGTCCCCAGGGGGGCCCAACTCCCCCCACCCCATCCCGTGTGTGACCCTGCACGGGCCCCACAGCCCCCCAGGGGTTTGTGTCCTCCCCTACACACGTGACGCACCGCGCCCAGGCCGTGACACACGCGTGTCCCCTGCGTGGCCGCAGCGGGTCCAGAGCCCGCCCTCCCAGACGCCACCTCCAGAGGGGACAGTGCCRCCCGCACAGGGACGCGGGCCACGGCACTCAGGTGGGAAGGGACGGGCGGGCGGGCGGGTGGATGGATGAACACGCTGCAGCCCGCGAGGGCGCCCGTGTGCCGAAAGGTGCCCGGGGCGACGTGACCTCCCGGGCAGGCCGGCGCCGGCCGACGCGCCGCATTTATCCCACTGGGATTAGCTTCACGGATGAGCCGGGGCCGCCGGGCCGGAAGGAGCACTTCCCGCGGCTCCGGTGGCCGCTTACGTAACCCTGTCGCCGCCGGCGGTGATGCTTCTCCGGCTGAGCACGGAGCGGCCCCTTCCCAGAGCTCCCCAGAAAGACTGAGCGGAAAAGCGACTTTTCCCCCCCGTGCATCCCAGCTGTTTGTGGCACGGRTCTGGGATGGGATGCTCGGCACTGCGCGTGATCACCTCTTCCCTTGGCAGGCATGAATGCGGCTGTCCGCGCCGTGACCCGCATGGGGATCTACGTTGGAGCCAAAGTTTTCCTCATCTATGAGGTTCGGTGATCCCGTTGCTCCATCCGAGTGTTGCTTGAGGGGGGTGGAATTGCTCCGTTGGGCCCCTCTTTGGTAGAGAAGTGTCCATAAATGACACCAGACACRGGCTTGGACAGTGTGTTTCTACCGAGCCGTTTGACGCCCTTGTCCCGCAGTGTGGACCAACGGGCTGGTCCTGCTTTGGGCCAGCGGGAGACACCAGAGTCTAGTGATGCCCTCCAAGCCCGGCCCCATCCCAAGCCAGACACGTAGACAYGTCACCCTGTGCCCACATCTTCCTTGCAACCCCCTCGCGTGCCCAGCGGGCCTCGGAGGCTGAGATTTCATGAGACTCCTTTGGTTGGAGGCACGAGGGAAGCAGCTCCAACATCTGCGTCTGCCTTCTGTCCTGGCAGGGCTACGAGGGGCTGGTGGAAGGCGGCGAGAATATCAAGCAAGCCAACTGGCTGAGTGTCTCCAACATCATCCAGCTGGTGAGGCTCGGCCGGTTATCTCCTCCCGAGGTCGGGAGCTTGGCGGACGCCAGAGCTCGAACGTCACCKCAGGGGGACGAAGAAGGAGCTCGCGGGGCGGTCATGGGTTCTGCTGGTGCTGGGGCTGATGCTGCTTCTCCGGGGTGTCCGCAGGGCGGCACCGTCATTGGCAGCGCGCGCTGCAAGGCCTTCACGACGCGCCAGGGCCGCCTGCGCGCCGCGCGCAACCTCGTGCAGCACGGCATCACCAACCTGTGCGTCATCGGCGGCGACGGCAGCCTCACCGGCGCTGACATCTTCCGCTCCGAGTGGGGTGGCCTGCTCGAGGAGCTCGTTAAAGATGGTGCGTGCAGCTGATAGCCCCCAGCTCCTGAGTGCGGCAGCTTGGAGCCTCGTGCGGACGAGGAATTGGGCACGATGTGGCCGAGAGGTCCGTGTGGGGAGAGCACTTGAGAGGCATTTGACTCGAGGGAGCACGAGGCGGAGACCAAGCTTCGCTCTGGAGCTTTTGACCCCCAAAGAAGCTTGTCTGGAGCAGAAAATGACAAATTCCTCCTTTCCTGGGAGTTTCTTGCAGGGATTGCAATTCTTGCAGGATTCATGCCTCCSACCTTGCCCTCCCACAGTTAAATTACAATTGATTTCATTTGTTTTCTAATCTGGCACTGCTTTCCAGCCGCTGGCCCCCGCTCTGCTGTCTCTGTGTGCTGGGAATCCCACTTGCTCGGGTGCTCTTGGAGCCTGAGGTTGGAGCTGCTAAGTCTCTCCGGAATTTAGTCAGCAGGAGGTGGGAAGCGCAGCCCTGTGCCGAAGCCAAAGGGGAAGCTGCTTCCCAGGCCTTGGCTGCACGCTTGGGCTTATTGACGTCTTCAAAGAGCTTGGCCCCGCGGAGGAAATTAGGGAGCAATTAAAAAGGGTTTGCTGGCGGTGAGAGAGGCAAGTGAGAAGCTGGGCMTTGTTAGGAAAGGGATGACAAGTGACCATCAAACACCTGCCTTGTGGCCTGTAAAGCCGGAGAAGAGAGATGTGGAGGAGCTGGAGGAAGGAGAGGGAGATGCCACTGTTGCTTGTCCCATCCTGGCGCCGCCCTTTGGGCGAGAAGCGCCCCRTTTCCCCAAGCCTTGCTCTACCGGAGGCTCTCGCGGGGCGCTAGAAAGTGCCTGCCATGCCGCCTGCAGGGCAGATCAGCGAGGCTGTGGCCAAGGAGTACTGCCACCTCAACATCGTGGGCCTCGTGGGCTCGATCGACAACGACTTCTGCGGCACCGACATGACCATTGGCACCGACTCGGCGCTGCACCGCATTATGGAGGTGATCGACGCCATCACCACGACGGCCCAGAGGTGAGCGCGCCCCGCCACCTGCCCCATCCATAGCGGCTCATCGAGAGGGCGCTCACGCCCCTTCTCTCCCCTTGGTCTCCTTGCAGTCATCAGAGGACCTTCGTGCTGGAGGTGATGGGCAGGCACTGCGGGTGAGAGCTCCGGGAGGTGCAGAAGACCTTGAGCAAGCATCGGTGGGGCTGAGAGAGGGAAGAGCAGCTCAGTGAACGTGGGACGGTACCGGGGAAAACCCTGGAGCCACATTAAGTGGCCCAGAGGCTGCCCAGGGTCTCCGCTGTGCCCCGCAGTCACGGCCTGGACCGGGTGAGACGCCAAGGGATGCCCATGTTGTCACCTGCTGCCGTGCTAATGCCTTCTGTCCCCTCCAGGTACCTAGCACTGGTGTCTGGCCTGGCCTCAGGGGCTGACTGGCTCTTCATCCCGGAGTCACCCCCAGAGGATGGCTGGGAGGACCGCATGTGTGAGAGGCTTGGGGAGGTAAGACGGGGGCTCCCTTAACTGTTGTGAGGGTTGTTTGCCCAGTCCAGGCTTTTGGTGCCTCCTTTTGCTCCCGGATGGGAGTATTCCCAGCAGATCCAGGCTGGAATACCTCAGTATTTTGCCCGAAGCCCTGGCTGCGGCGGCACTGCGACGTTTCGGGAGCTCGGACTATTGTGTCCGTGAAATGGAGCGCTCAGCCGGACGCAAATCGGACTGGCACGAGCCAGCGGGCGCCCTGGAAAAGTCTGGCCTCGGATCTCAGTTTGCAAAGCCCCTGGGCAGAAAGGGGGACGCGGTCGTGCTCGCAGACGGGTACTCTGGGCTCAGACGGGCTGCCTGGTTTTCCTCCCTTGTGCCAGACGCGCAGCAGGGGCTCGCGGCTCAACATCATCATCATCGCCGAGGGTGCCATCGACCGCAGCGGCAAGCCCATCTCCTCCAACTACGTCAAGGATGTAAGCGCCCGCTTGAGCGCCCTGTCCCGCTCCGGCGGCTGCGGCCACCACGTCCCCTTGCCCTGACAGCCCCTTTCCTGTGCAGCTGGTGGTTCGGCGCCTGGGCTTCGACACGCGCGTCACTGTCCTGGGCCACGTGCAGCGTGGAGGGACACCGTCGGCCTTTGACCGTATCCTGGTAGGTTTTGCAGGGCAGGGGGGACAAGGAGGCATAAGCATAAGCATGATATGGGAGTCCCGAGGTTATGCAGCGTGGATCGTGGATGCTGTGGGTCTCAGGCCCCCATTCCTTGCATCCCTCTGCCAGCTACGAAGGACTTGCCAGCTCAGATAGTGCTGACGTGCTCCCTGCAGCTGTGCCAGGCAGGACAGGGCACCCGCTCCTCTGATCCACCRCTGAATTTGCTGCTCTTAAATAACTCAGCAGCTCCCTGGCTGTAAGTCAGACTAATGGAGCTGCACGAGCAGCCGCATGACTTCCACACACGTGTTCACTCCATACAAACACGAGCCTGGGGAAGGTCTCGCATCAGCAGGGCTGCCTGGGAGCTTCCCAAGGTGCATCCTTGGCTGGCAAGCGGGGCCGCTGGGTGGCGGATTGGCCGAGGCATCCCGGAGCCTTGGTGTCCCCTCTGCAGAGCAGCAAGATGGGAATGGAGGCAGTGATGGCGCTGCTGGAGGCCACGCCGGACACCCCCGCCTGCGTGGTGAGCCTCTCGGGGAACCAGTCCGTGCGGCTGCCCCTCATGGAATGCGTCCAGGTGGTAAGTACACGTGCAGCTGCCGTCGTGGCGGGGACCGTGGTGGCTTGTCCCCTGCTCGTACACATGTGCCTTACATTGCTGTGTCTCTCTGCAGACAAAGGATGTTCAGAAGGCCATGGACGAGAAGAGGTTTGAGGAGGCTATCCAGCTCCGTGGCAGGTGAGGAGAGGGGTCACTGGGCTTTATGGAGCACRGATTGATCCAGATTCCCTTTCCTCACCAAGAAGTTCCTACATCCCTCTCCAGTGTGGACTGCTTAGCTCTGGAGCACATGGGAAACGTGGAGCTGCACCTGAGGCTCAGGAGAAACTCAGGAATAGCCCAAGAGGGGAGATGTTGCTGTAACCAGCTCCTCCAAATTGGAGGTCATGGCCAGCCCTGGAGCTCTCCAGGCTTTCCATGTCCCCATGTGGCCACTGTCCGAGGGTCACAGGGCTGTGAAGCAGCAGGGCTCCCTCCCCACTGAGAATGGGCGTTTTCAGCTCCCTCTCTGCTGAGAACAGGCGTGTTCTTTGCAGGAGCTTTGAAAACAACTGGAACATTTACAAGCTGCTGGCACACCAGAAACCAGCCCAGGAGAAGGTAAGGAGGAGAAGGAGATGTCAAGAGCCCTGGGCATAGGCTCTTGAGGATCATCCTGATCTTGTCTGGCTTTGGRAAGGAGGAGCAGAGAGACAAGAGGTCCTCGTGCTCTATCGCTGGAAGCTCCATCCAGCTCTCAGTCCTGATGTTCCCCACTCCTCCATGCCGTCCTCGCAGAGCCCCTTCAGCCTGGCCATCCTGAACGTGGGCGCCCCGGCTGCGGGCATGAACGCTGCCGTGCGCTCCGCTGTGCGGATCGGCATCTGCCAGGGACACACCGTGTATGTGGTGAACGACGGCTTCGAGGGCCTGTCTAAAGGGCAGGTGAGCGCGCTGGCTTGGGGGTGCTCCAACACCTCGTGAAGCCGCCTTGGCTGGTGGCCTCTGACGTGGGTGCAGATCTCTGTGGCTCTCTGCTTAGGTTGGGAGGGTTTGGGAGGATGTGYGTGGTGGGGGTCTGCACACAGGCAAGCTGGGGTCCTCCAGACCCCATTCGTGGGCATGTCGGTGGGTGCTCTGGGTGGCGTGGGTGGGCCTGGAGGGAGAAGGCCAGGCTGCCACCCACCTGCCCTCCAAGCCGTGCTCCTTGCAGATCCGCGAGGTGGGCTGGCACGACGTGGCCGGCTGGCTGGGACGCGGCGGCTCCATGCTGGGCACCAAGCGGTAAGCGCCACGCCGGCCTCAGCCGCGGGTCCTGGCCCTGCCATGCAGCCCCCCTGGGGCAGTGGGAGGGGACCTTGTTGTCATCGGTGGGCTGGCCCTGCTGATCTCGCTGTCTCTCCCTCTCTACAGGACTCTGCCCAAGACGTGCATGGAGAAGATTGTGGAGAATGTGCGGAAATTTAACATCCAGGCCCTGCTGGTCATTGGGGGGTTTGAGGTATGGAGAGTTTCTGACGGAGTTGTGGGAAGCTACGTGTTTAAAATCAGGCCATGGTATCATGGAAATGAGGGGATCCCGCTGGGATGGGGTCCCCCTCTTTGTCACCTTAGGACCTGATGCCTCGGAGAGGCTCATGTGAGACAAGGCAGGGAGCTGAGATCTGAGCTGAGGGCACAGGCTGGCTCTTCTGAGCCTCTGCCCACTCCTGGAGGGCTGTCCACACCCCAGCCCATGCAGACGCCCCTGCAGACGGTGTGTTGAGCATAAGAGGAAGGACACGTGAGCTGCCAGCTGGATGCAGCACGGGTGCGTGCTCATCAGAGCCGGTGCTGGCCTGTTGCCACCAAGCACCTTCTCCCAGCGCAGGGGATGCAGATGMTGCCTCTCAGCTCTAAGGAGCTTCCTTCCCAAAACTGTCATGATCCATGGTGCTCAGAGTGGTCCTCTTGGGCTGGTTCTGATGGCTGTCACTGTGCATTTGCATCTCCCAAACTGGGCATGTTCCCAGTGCAGCACAGGGAGACTCAACCAAGCTGGAGACGCAGATGCAGAGGCAGGTCCCTGGTGATGGCGCATTGCCCACCCACCTCTTCTTGCAGGCCTACGAGGGGGTGCTGCAGCTTGTGGAGGCACGCGGGCAGTACGAGGAGCTCTGCATCATCATGTGCGTCATCCCAGCCACCATCAGCAACAACGTGCCCGGCACTGACTTCAGCCTGGGCTCGGACACCGCCGTCAACGCCGCCATGGAGGTGAGGCGAGCGGGGAGCGGCCTTTAGGGAACCTCTCGTGCCCCAGCCTCCTCGCTCGTCCCTTACGCCCCTGTCGCAGAGCTGTGACCGGATCAAGCAGTCAGCCTCGGGCACAAAGCGACGCGTGTTCATCGTGGAGACGATGGGCGGCTACTGTGGGTACCTGTCAACTGTGACCGGCATCGCGGTGGGGGCGGATGCTGCYTACGTCTATGAAGATCCTTTCACCATCCATGACCTGAAGGTGAGCAGAGGAGTGCAGCTTGGGTGGCCATGGAGCTGCACAATACGAGGTGCCACTGAGATGTGTTTGGGATTGTGCAGTTATTCGACAGCTTCATGAAAAAGAAAGAAGATGGGAAGAAGCGCTTGGGAAGAGGGCAGGATATGGAAGAGCGTGGGACGGTGTGGGGAGATCTTTACAGCACTGCAGGGTAACATCTGTGAGATGTTAGTGGCTCTCTTGTCTGAAGTTTAGGAAGCAGCAGGATGAGGCAGCCTGTAGGAGCTGTCCTGTCCTGCTGGGTTGACTGCAGAGAGGGGACAGGAGCTGTTAGGATCGTGATCAATGTGTTGTCTTGCAGGCTAATGTGGAGCACTTGACTGATAAAATGAAGACAGATATCCAGAGGGGCCTGGTGCTGCGGTGAGTCCGTACCCTCCGCCATATCACGCACTGTGGGATGGTGTCCAAGGAGCCTGGGAACGAGCCCAGCTGCCCCAGCAGCCCAGAGCCAAGCTGGACAAGCCTTGCTGCCATGGGAAGGCAGGGATTGGAGTGGCATCCCTGCCTTCCCCTCCTGATCCCCTCCTGCATGCAGCACTCATGGGTCCGGGAGTGGGATGCTTGGTGCGCTGGGTGCACAGCACCCTCCATGGGCAAGCAACGCCACCTTCCCTCTGCTCCCCCAGCAATGAGAAGTGTCATGAGCACTACACCACCGAGTTCCTCTACAACCTKTACTCCTCCGAGGGCAAGGGCATCTTTGACTGCAGGATTAATGTCCTGGGCCACCTCCAGCAGGTACGGGTGGTAGGCATGGAGAGGGACCTGCTGGCAGGCACCTTGCCCCTGGAAATGTCCGGGGGCAAGCAGCGTTGCTGCCGCCGCCAAAGAGCTCAGGCCTGATGCCAGTGTCCCTCTGCCACCAGGGAGGAGCCCCGACACCCTTTGACCGTAACTACGGCACCAAGCTGGGAGTGAAGGCTGTGCTGTGGATGTCGGAGAAGCTGCAGGAAGTCTACCGCAAGGGTGAGYGAAGGGCTGGCACGCGCCTGGACCCACAGTCCTGTGCCAGAGCCTGCAGGAACTCCTGGGAATGTGTGTGCCAAGCAGGGCTGGTGCTTTGCCAGCCCGCGAGGCTGCAAGCAGGCTTGTGTCGCCCGTGCCAGCCCTGTCTAGGGGCAAGCAGTGAGCAGCGGGCACGTGTCCCTGTCACGCGCATCTGCTCAGCGGGAGCAGCGAGCGGGCAGGGGAGTTGGCCTGGGGCGTTTTCACCTGCCAGGACACACGCACCAGGCTCAGAAGGCTCCTCTGCACCCTGCTAGCTGTGAAGCAGAGGCGTCTTGGCCCGTGGTTGCCAGGAGAGGCTGCGAGCAGGCTGGCTTCTAGCCACCACGCTGCATGGTGACGGGCGCCTGTGTCCCCGCAGGGCGTGTGTTTGCCAACTCAGCCGACTCTGCCTGCGTGATCGGGCTGAGGAAGAAGGTGGTGGCCTTCAGCCCCGTGACGGAGCTCAAGAAAGTCACCGATTTTGAGTAAGTCCCTCTTCTAAYGCGCCTTCTCTGCCCATGGGTCACCAGGGGTGAGAACCGGGGGACCTTTGTGGAGCAGGGTGCTGCTCGCTGTCCTGTGGGCTGCTCAAAAGCTCTGTCCCTCTCTTGCAGGCACAGGCTGCCCCAGGAGCAGTGGTGGCTGAATCTGCGGCTCATGCTGAAGATGCTCGCCAACTACCAGATCAGCTTGACAGAGTACATCTCCGGGAAGATGGAGCATGTCACCCGGCGCACRCTCAGCATCGAGAAGGGCTTCTAGTGCCGCCAGCCCGAGCTGTAGCTCCCTGCTCCTTCTCCCTTCCACTAATGCCTCTGGAGTGCCGTGTAGCCCAGGACCACCAGTGAGTGGGTTGCAGAACTGTGAGACACCGTAGCCATCCCTGAGCACATGCCCCTTCCCCATGTGCTGCTTGGAGAGCAACCAGGCCCCATGTTCTSCATAGCCAGTCCTTTTACTCCAGAYACTGTAAGGCAGGCAGAGCCTGGCCTYGATTCCTAAACCAGCACAATCATGCCTGAAAACACTGACCCCGGGTCCAGTCCCTGAGCAGCTGGGGGAAGAAGCGGGAATATTAGAGCCCGGCTGCATGGCCTGGATGCTTAACCTCTCCCTTTTAGTTTATTCTCACTATTTAATGAGCGAGGGTCCAGATTCCTTCTCTCGCGGCCTGACCGCATGAGCCAATTGCTGCTTTTAGTTCCCTGCCCTCCAGTGCGGGGGGCAGCTGAGGAGGAGGCCCTGCTGTTCCAGGGCAGGTAGGGGCCGACACTGGAGACTCGCTGCTGCCACATGGGTCCCCAGGAAAGCTCCTTCGGGTTCTCATGGCCGTGCTGCAGCTGGCACGTGCACATGGMCCTCCGTCTGCCCCACGTGTTGCCTCGCGGGATGTCTTGAGCAGCAAGTGTTGGTCCTGGCAAGCCTGGCTCCCCAAACACCTTGCATGATGCTTGGCTCTGACCGCTGCTCTGTGGCGCTTGGCACGGGTGCCTTTCCAGCCCCAGAGCCCCTTTGTGCCAGGTGCTCTTGCCACGAGCAGGGCCGTGTCCATCGTGACACCGTTGCTCTGTGAACCCCGTGTCGTGTACTGTCCATGGCGCTGCTTGTGTCTTCTAGAGATAAAACCTGCTGGAGCCAAATCTGCATCTCTGGCAGCTGGTCATTGTGGGGTGAGTCCCACATGGGGAGAGAGGGGCCCGTTTCCCAGGCTGGGTGTGAATGCGGCGGGATCCTGCTCCTCTGCCATGTGTGCCACAATCCCAGGGCCATGCAGGGCTGGGCCAGTGCCAGCACCAGGGAAAGGTATTTGGATGAGAGAAATCAATAAGAGATGCTTGGGGCTTGCTCTGGAGTTGGACTAWTGCAGAACCAGGAGGGTCGCCAGGAGTGCGGCTGGGTCCCCAAGTGCATGGCCTGCTCCCACCCTACTCCTCGGGAACAAGAAGCAAGACGGCCAGGGACCTCTGCCGTGCACAAGTCCTCCTTGTTCCTTGGCTGGTGACCAGTGGGCTCAAAATTGCCATCCCTCTGGGAAGAGACTTTGCAACCCTGCAGAGAAATCCTTTCTCCCATGATTTGTTTCCCATCTTCAAAGAAAGGTCAAAAATGGCTTTATCAACATGACATGGTTTATAACAGAGCTTCTCAGGGCAGCTGCCAAGCGCCTCCGCTCCCGCTCCGGCCTGGCTCTGCGCTCAGGCGCCTTGGCCCAAGGTGGCTCCCCGAGCACAGCCCCTTTCCCAGGGCTTCCACGCCGGCCGCTCCTCCTGGGGTTCTGTGGGACAGCGCCAGCACGAGGACATGTCCCGGTCCTTTGGCTTGGATGTGCTGTGATTCTCCACCCTGCTGCACTTCTCTCCAGCGCGTATCTGCTTGGGAGACACTGGCAGCAGCCCCCTGTCCCCCAGGGCTGGGAAAGGTGGGAGGTAGAAGGGGGCTTGTCCACCACCTGGAGAGCTGGTTTATGGACCTGGAGGATGCCTGGTGCTGCTACAGACACACCGAGTCCTATCCTGCTCTTCAGCATGCCCAGGGCTTTCATTCGGCCTCAGCAGAGCAGTCTCGCTGCGCAGCGGCGGTCCCGCATCGCCATGCTGGGAACATGGCTTTCTGCCTGGACCAGAAGCCTCTCAAGGTCCCCGCGGGGCCTTTAAACACGGGTTGTGCTGGGTCAGCTTCCAGGGGCAGGCGGCTGTTGGCTGCAACCACTGGGAACCGTTTGTCCTCACTGCTCCATCACCAGGGGCGAGGCAAACCCTGCTGCAAGATCCCTCCGGGCAGAGCCCCGCGGGCCTCTGCCACCTGCCAGGGCACGCTGAGCACCAGGGCCTGTGAAACGCTTCACGTGGCAGCTCCAGCCCTGCAGGAGCCCGTGCAGGGGCCCTGATAGCGCCCGGCTGCAGCAGGAAGCAAGCGCTGGTGACGGACGCGCTGCCTCCTGTAGGGACTCTCCCCTGCTCCCGATCGCACGGCGCCGCCACAGCAGCCGACGGCACTAGGAAGTTCACCAGGTCTCCAGAGTGAAACGGAATGAGTCCAAGGGTCAAACCTACTCCTTGGGCTGCTTGGAGAGTAAGTGGGGGTCACCCTGCAGTAGGAGGAAGAGGGGGGTCGAGACCAGCAAGAGCAGTGCGGCTGGCAGTGGGAGCAGTAGCACCAGCCAAGAACGACAAGCACGGCACGTAGGCGAAGCCGAAGGGGAGGAGAGTTGCTTTCCCGGGAGGAGAGCGTGGAGGAACGGGGCAGCTGCTGAGGGAGCCGCCGCGCACCCTGGGCACGGGCCGGCCCCGCACTGCGCTTACTCTGTGCACATTCATCCCAAGAAAACCGGAGTCCCCACGAGGTCTTAGCTGTGCTCAAAGCGCAGGGAAGTCCAACAGTTCAGAAATTACACCGACTATTTAAGTGCAATTGGTTTTCATGCAGAATTCAAGACCTAAGTGGCAAGGGGCAAATCCTACCCTCTCCTGCCAGTCAGTGGTTCTCATCCCRGTTCTTGACATCAGCCACAGCTTACACAGCCTAGAGAGAAAACKCTATTTGGCATGGTACAATGCTTTAATTACTATTTAACAACTCTGTGCAGCTCTTGGAATTCAGCTCCTTTCGCTGCAGAGAAATCCCACCCATGATACCTGTGCAAACTGGCCCGTAATGTTCAACATGTCTTCTCAACTGCAAAATGCACATGTGGTTTTTATTGCTAGCTTAAGTTTCCTTCAGCTGCTCTGAACCTTGCAGGGCATGGCATGTCAGCACATGGGACAGAGAAACTTCCGCTTCAGCTAAGTTGCTCCAAGCAACTTCAGGCCACCTTGTCACCAACTCGGATGCTGGATACACTTGCAGGGACCAAAAGGAGTCGAGAGTTTAAGGTAAACTAAGCATATGACATAGAGCTGTCTTTGGGGCAACTCTCGGTCATTAGCTGAGGCAGCGTCCCCTCAGACASGTTTCCTAAAAGCAGGTCTCTGTGGCAGGAGCTGCCTTCAACCTCTGCTATGTGCAAAGAAAGGCTGGTACCAGGTCAGGGCCAGCTGAAGTTCAGCAGAGAACAAGCAGCAGGCTGAGCCACCCCACCTGGTAGCACAGCCATGGGCCCCTCTCACTGCACCCCTGCTTGTGGCTGCTGCCTGCCCGCAGGGCAGCGTAGCGGGACACGCCGAGGTTTCCTCTGTAGCCTGAAATGTGGGGGCCGAAACGGTGCTGCTGGTCCAGGGCTGTATCCCCAAGGAGGGCTCTGGGGAGGGGTGTGCCGAGCGCTATCACTCCTCCTGCAGCTCCTTCTTCCGGAAGGCCTGGAGCCTCCTCCCCGCAGTTTGCTGGACAATCTCCAGCCCCTCTGCATCCAGTTCCTTCATGAGGAGCAAGATGGCATTCAGGACGTTGTTCTGCCACAAGGAGAAAAGAGTGTTTTRTAGCAACGTGTTTCCAGTCCTGAGAAGAACTGCTTCTTCTAGGAACTCCAAAAACCCCTGCAACGGTCTGGAACAGACACCTGCAGCTACAGGGACAGATCCAGGGAGGCCCTTGGGACCGACAGTCGCACCTGACGAGTCTAATTGGAACGTGGAACAAACATGGCCATCCAGTCCCACACGGCTGCCCAAAGGCCTCTGGCTCTCGGTCTTTGAGCTGACTTCTGCAACACAGAGCAGATTTGGCCAAGCCACCCGCTCCCTCCATTGCTGACCATGGTAGCGTGGGAAAGGACAGGCACCCTCTGCTCTTGATAAGAGGAAGAGCTGCTAGAATCACAAATGCGCTAGTTGGAAGGGCTCCCTGGATGTCCCCAGGCCGATGTCCCACCAAAGCGGGACTGCTGCCAGGACCCGGCCACGGCTTCATCAAGCCAAGAGTTGAAAAACTCCAGAGACAGAGATTCCACAGCCTACAGCCAATTCCCCTTGCTCTACATTCTCTTTTCCCAAAGGCCAGAGCCAGCAGTAGGATACTGCAAATGAATACACCCAGGTTAGCTTAAAACAYCAGTGAATTAGAGTTTGCAGGCAAGTAGTATAAAAATATGGCCTTCCAAAACCCATCGAAGTGCTGTCCCCGAGCCCAGCATAAAGCAGCTCCCAGCTGGACTCAGCTTGACAGCTGACAGGTTCAACTCAGGCTGCATCTCAGGAGTGTGAGAGGAGCCACTGAAACTCAGAAGCCTCAAGCCCACGAGGGCAACAGCTTGAGCTGCTAAGATGTTGGGCTGCAGCTACTGCCCAGCCACCTCAGCACAATGCCAGCCTAAGGGACAYGCTAGTATGCAGCCAGACCAGGAATGCAAACCCTGCCAGGCCGCCTGCCTTTTTCGGAGGAAAAACATTAGACATTGAGTTGAAGATGAAAAGCAGTGTGGGCGTTACAGACACTCACTCTCTTCTTTCTGCTGTAGTCCGTCTCTCGTGGCGAAAAGGATGAAAATTTGTCCCTGGGAACAGGCTTCATACCGAGCTGCTCTCGGATTTTGCTGARGAAGAGAGGAAAAGCAGACATTAAATGACCAGAAGTGAGCATGTCCACCAAGGCAACTCTTCACCATCACGACCACGACAGAGCCATGGAGGGTTTGAGGCACATTTGCCTCACCCACCATGGCTGCCAGCACTGCAGCATGACCACGTAACAAGGCCACGCTGGCACACCACGTCCCGCAGCACTAACGGGTGCCAAAGCAGGTAGTGGAAGAGCCAAGCGGGAAYGGAGCGGAGCACTCGTTCCAGTGAGGACTCCTCTCTGTCCACATAAACAGCTCACATGCTCGTGAGCCAGCACCACCTATGGAAGAGCCCGTTTGGCAGTCACAGAACCAGACCCACATGTGCTGCTAAGCCCACGCAGCTCCCACACAGTAACTGGAACAGGAATTTGCTCCAATCGCAGGTCTGGCTCACGTGACACTGGAACTGGCTGGCAGGGTCCTTTCACGCCCCCCAAATCCCAACAGCGCTTGAGGAAGCCCTCACTTTGTCTCCTCCAAGCTGAAGTTCAGCAGCCCGCTCTCAGTCTCCGTTGTGGATTCAGCAGCGCTGGACTCGGGGCAGCCGTTCTCCACGTTCTCCCGGGCTGGCGGGGTCGTTATCTCTTCCCCATCAACGAGCGCCTGGGACAGTTCTTCCTCTGTCACAGCTGCAAAAGTTGAAGCGAAAGCCTGCAGGAGGCTGCCACAACGCGGGCACTGTAACCACTCAGGAGGAGAGCACCTGCAGCCGGGAACACGCTGCTTCTGCAGAGCGAGACCACCGTGCTTTCGTCCTCCTCCTGCAGTAACCCCCCACCAAGGAGGGTGCTGGCAGCAATCTTGCCAAACTGAGAAAGACAGCAAGGAGAGATGCAAAGATAACCCAGCAGTTCTTGTCTCAGGTTTTGCAGGCTCCGAAAGCCCGCAGATTCATGCTAGCAGGTGGAAAAGCTGTCCTATGTTTATGACAGTGGATCTGGTTATGGTATCTTTGTTTTGCCAAAGCAAAGAAGAAGAGCTCTAAAAACACTAATTAGCAGTACAGTCACAGCTATAATGAGTCCCTCTAGTGTCAGCTCTGGTGTTGCAGGGAACAGAGGGGAGGAAACAACTTGGAAAGGACAGATCTCTCAGGGAGGCCGCTCAAACCCTAAGCAGGTCCCACACAGCTGACGTATCGCTTCTCTACTGTCATGTCAAAGGACATAATCCTAATAAGAAGAACCAAATTGCTGCCTTCCACTTCACTCTGAAAAGACGCTGCCCAGGAGACAGGACCATTCAGACCCCGCCATACCTGCAAACACCCACCTTGATTATCAAGCTTCTGCAGGTGCGGGAGGTTACGCAGCACAGTCATTCTGTAGCGGTGGGGGTCTGACCCACAGCAAGGGTTTTCTGACAGCCACAGGACCCTCAGTCGGGGCAGGTTTTTGAGGTAGAAGAGCTCATTTAGGCTCGCGATGTTGTTCTTCCTCAGGTAGAGTTCACTCAGGTTCTGGCACTGATTCAGTGGCTCGAGGTCTGAGATGCCGTTCACGCTGAACAGAAACCACAAGGTCAGAGACCAGGGAGCTCCTCCCTCCCTTGCTGCATCACTCAGGTGGAAGCAGGACCCCTGTGTTAACAACTCCTTTTCCTGCAACACTTTACTTTAGGGAGCTCGTGCTGGTACAGCACAGCAAGTGAGGGTGCTAAGGGCCTAGACACTGCACAGAGCACAAAGACAATATCCAATCTTCTTCAGCAAAGCAAAGAATTACAAAAGCAGGCTCACCTCCTGCTGAACCTGAGAATGGCCTTTACTTCCCCCAGCTCTCCRTCACACTTAACACCCTTTGCCATAGCAGCTGCTCAGACAGCACAGCACAGCCCGTGTAACATTACCAAGCTAAAAAGCTTAAACTCAAGGACAGCAGAGCCTCTGTGTGATGTCCAGAACACACAGAAGAGTTGCCAGGAGATATAAGGAAACTAAAAACTTCACAAGATTTGAAACTATTCTGCTAACAGGTTCCATACCGAGGTTGACAAAAATCTCATCTAAACTACGGGACATGACTTGAGGGAGGAAAAAGCCAAAGAGGTTTTACCACCTCTGCAAACAGCAACTATTTCCCGTCCACAAGCTGAGCAGCCAAAGTAAAGGAGCAGAGGAGCGGGTGAAAATCAGCATTTCTGCATCTCTGSCCCTTGTAAAGTCAGGCACGAAGATACATCCCTATGAGACACGCGCCTGTCAGTTGTCCCTGCCCGCTCTGTGGCCAAGAGTCTGGTGTTTACCTGAATGTGATAACTTCGATGTTGGGCAGATCCCGGCATATTGATATCTAGGCAGGAAAAGACAGGAGCAATGAGCTGTACTCTCAGGAAAAAATAAAATAAAAATAATTTAAAATTGCTCACAATATAACGGCACAAACAGCAATTTTAAGGACACCTCAGTCTCACCCCAACCTAACACAACCAGAGGGATTTGCTGCCACCCTCGGCAACCCCTCCACACTCTAGGACCAGCTCCCCTGCCGGTGACTCCGGATGCCCAGGGACCCGGGACGAGGTCCCTCGTGGGTGGCCCTGCCAGTGGCTCCAGATGTCCAGGGACCCAGGATGAGGTCTCCCGTGGATGGCCCTGCCGGTAGCTCCACGTGCCCAGGGACCCGCGATGACGCCCGCATGCGTCACAGGCTGCTCCTTACGTCCGTGAGGTGGCTGCCCCTGCGGGACAAGAGCCGGGGGGTCATTGCTGGGCCCCGTGCCCTGCATCGTGCCACCTCACCCAGGGCCACCTCTGTCCCCTCTGCCACTGCCTGCGCCCCTTCCCAGCCCCCCAGTCTGCCACAGTCCTCCACATCCTGATACCCACCCATGCCTGTTTGTCCGCCCATATGCCCCCTCCTGTGACACCCTGTCAGCTCCCCATGCACCCTCCATTCCCGCTTGTCCCCCCATACTGCCCCTCCTGGAATCCCCACAGCACCTCATTCCTGCTTGCCCCGCCACCTCTGATGGCACCCCAAGGCCCAGTGCACCCCGCCTAGGCCCTGCTTGTCACCCCAGACTACAGCCTGCACCCCCAGGGCCTCCATGCCCCCCTCCCAGGCCATCCCACCGCCTGCTCGTCCCTCCCATACCCCAATACACCCCCTAGGACCTACCCTTCCCCCCCGCCAAGGCTGCTCGCGCCCCGCCGCCCCAGGCTCGGGTGCCCCCCGAGGGTCCCCCCCAGAGCTCCGCATCGCGCTCGCACCAGCAGTTGAGGCGCCGGACGCCATCGAGGGCGGCGGCCTTAGCGCGGCCCAGCAC